CAGGGGAAACTTCGGATGCGGAAAGTTTCGCGGCTCGACTCCTCAAGAAGGGCAGGGTCACTGTGGGAGACTTCGAAAAGCTCTGTGGGCTGCTGCCGTCGGACCTCGAGGTCCGCGCTACAGCCGGGGATCTGACCTCAAAGACTTTCATGAGTGGTTTCTTTCAACATGGCGGAGTCATCGGGCTTCGCACGCATGTGTCCAGCCACCCCTGGGTTACGGCACTTCTTTGCGGAATTCTTCGCGCTGCATTTCCAGGTTACGCTTTTACTTCGGTGGTGGTGTCTAGGAACCGCCAAGTGCTTCCACATTGCGACAGCCAAAATGGTGCCAACACTTGGAACCTGCTGGTTCCAGCTTCCCGATTTAAGGGCGGAGGGGTCTGGCAAGAAGTGGATGGCGGACTCGAGCCCATGGAGTACGAGGGCGAGCAGCGCTGGGGCAAAATTCTTCCGGTGGCCACGGGTCCTCAACTTCTGGATCCTCGTCGACTCCATGCTACGATGTCTTGGAAGGGCGTGCGGACCGTGATCATTGGGTTCTCGATCCGAGAGCCTGCGAAAGCTAGCCGTACCTTGAGGAACACCTGGAAAAGGATCTCAGGACTGCAGGGTGTGTCGCAGACGGATGAAGCGGTTTCGGGCGGGCTTACACCATCAGTCCGTCTTCTCGAGCGGGGAGCTGGAGAGGAGGGTGACACCTTCCATGGTCATCTGGTCCAGGCTCGCAAGGACAACTTCGGCGATCCTATCACCGTGCAATGGCGAGGCAAGGTCCATTCCTTCGTTGATGGTTGCGGACTTAACAGTCCGGGTCGCTGGCGCCCGACCGCCCGGGGCAGGGGGCTCACCAAGGAAGCTGACGAGTTCGTGAATGCTCTTCGGAGTCTTCTGGATGATTTCATCAGGACTGAGATCGGGGATCCCCAGCGGGCATATTTCATGTTGGCCCTGGGCAAGTACGAGGAAGCTCCTTTTTCTGCTCAGGCCATGGATCGTCTTCGTAAGTCTTGGTTCTCTCTGCTGGAGGATCCTTCAGCGGCCGCTCACCAGGAGCCTGGGCAACCCTTCTTCTTGGAGGCGCTCTCGCAGACTTGTCGGGCTATGGGAGATGAGGACTGGGAGGTTCTCACCCGTGCAGAGGACAACTATGCTCGTGGGCGGAGACTGGGAGTGGACCGGCCCTTTCCTCGCGTAGTGGCGGTCTTCAGGCCGAAGGGGAAATGGCGAGAGTATGACGAGTCTGAGTTTCAGGCAATCAATGAGAACTACTCTTCGGCCAAGGCCGTGCCCGAGCAGCTGGAGAAGCAGTTCGAGGAGGAGGAGGCCCTTGGATTCATGTACCCCTTGTCTGAGAAGGAGGCGCGACGGCGGTTTGGAGAGACGCTGCGGGTGGCAAGTCTCGGAGCTATCATAAAGGACGATGGCTCAGTGCGAGCCCTCTTTGACGGCACTCACTCCGTCAAGCTGAACAACATGATTAAGATCTCTGATAAGCTTGAATTCCCTACACCTTCGAATGCCGCGCGGGCCATGGAAATCCAGCAAGAAGATGGTCATCGACTCCTGATAGGAATCGCTGCGGACATTGCAAAAGCACATCGGAGATACAAGCATGCACCCGAGGATCATGGTTACCTTGGTTGTCGGGCCAGGCCAGACGGCCCGATCTGGATTAACCGGGTGGGAACGTTCGGTGTGGCTTGCGCTGCTTATCACTTCGCCAGGTTGGCAGGGCTGATAGGCCGTGGAGCTCTTCGCATTGCACTGCAGGCCTCGCTTTTCCAGATGCTCTTCGCAGATGACTTGCAGATCATGGCGGGTGGAGAGCAGAAGTACCACGACCTTTGGGTGGTGCTCCTCTACTGGCTTATGGTTGGCACTCCTTTTAAGTGGTCTAAGTTTCGTGGGGGAGTTTGCTTGGATTATGTTGGTTTCTATTTTGATTACTTCCGGTTCAAAGTGGGACTGTCGGAGCGTCGGGCGAACTGGCTCATCGAATTCATCACGGATCTGCAGAGGGGCCGAGGGATGATTGAGCATCGGCGCTTCACCGAGTTTGTGGGGCGATTGGTCTATGCTGGGCAAGTTCTGTACTGGCTCCGACCGTTCATGGGACCGCTTCATCGCTGGAAAGCCGCCATCACTCCAGGAACTGTGGCCTTGGTACCTCGTATGGTGATGGTGGTCCTTCGCTACATCTTGACCTTGCTGCAAGAGAAGCATTATCTTGTCTGCTGTAAGTCGCCACCTTTGATGCTTCGCGAAGCATTTCGCACGGACGCGAAAGCAGAGGATGATTTTTTCGTACTGGGTGGATGGGAAACTCTGCACAGCTTTGAGCCAAAGAAGTGCCGTTGGTTCTCTGTCCGGGTCACTGCCGCTGATTATCCATTCGTGTTCAATGCACAAGGGACGGCGAAAGGAATGAGCACAGTTGCCGAGCTTCTGGCCACGTGGCTGGGGCTGCACTTGTTCGGATGGCTGGATGGGACTGGGCAGAGTTTCACGGTCTCTGCGGGGACCGACAACCTGGCGAATGAGCTGGTCATGCGCCGCCAGGGAACCACGAAGTTCCCATTGACGTATGTGTATATGCAGCTGGAGTACGATTTGTTCCGCTGCGGGGGCCATATGAACTTGAACTGGCGACCGCGTGAGCTCAATACTGAGGCAGATGACTTGACGAATGAACGGTTCAGCGCCTTCGATTTAGCTCTTCGGATTGATGCGAAGTTTTCTGATGTGCCGTGCAAGCTTCTTCTTGATTTGGCAAGCTTTCATTCTGAGATGCTCGAATGGCGAAAAGGGGGAGAAGGAAGTGCCCCATCAGCTCCTTTGACAAAGAAGCAGAAGTTGGCCACCAAGACGAAGTGGTAAAGCGATCCTCGCGTTGGTGGGTGGAGGCCGGTCCCCGAATGGGGACCCGGTCTCGGCTCGCTGTTACGGCGCGATCTGGACATCCGGAAAAATGTTGAGTCCTCAGTCCGAAGCCTCGTTGGATTTATATTGGAAAGATATTTGATTCTCGATTTTTATGTTTTCCTGATACGTTTCTTTGCCAGTCGCTTTGCTGGTTCCTACAAAGCTTCTTGGGCTTGCCCAAAGGGGTTTGTAGGATGCAAAGGGGAGGAGGGTGGGCCCCAAAAGAAAGTTTTAATTGATTTTATCAATACGATTTCTTTTCCGATTTTCCGCACGTTTCTTTCATGTGATTGCTGTAGGTCTTTCACATGCTTTCTCATGTTGACTTGCACTGCTTTAGTGCTCTGATGACTGATTCGATTATATCCGTGAAATAGAGGCTCCGGAGGAGGGAGCTTAGAAGTTTTAGTCCCACCCATCCCGCCCTAGAATTTTACCTTGCGCCGGTGGGATGTTAGTTTGAGCTATGGGTGGAGGCCGGTCCCCGAATGGGGACCCGGTCTCGGCTCGCTGTTACGGCGCGATCTGGACATCCGGAAAAATGTTGAGTCCTCAGTCCGAAGCCTCGTTGGATTTATATTGGAAAGATATTTGATTCTCGATTTTTATGTTTTCCTGATATGTTTCTTTGCCAGTCGCTTTGCTGGTTCCTACAAAGTTCTAATCGTTCTAGTTTCAACAGCAGTTTGGCAGACAAGATGTTGGGTTTAAGAATACCGCACCCCCTGTTTGAGTAGTTCTGCAGGGAGACGTTATGTTTTTGTTACGTTGTAGCATTTTTTGATTTCAGGGCAATTTGCTTTCGAGTCCTGCAGCACTTGTACTTTTGAGGCTAAACAGTGGAAGGCCGAGGGGCTTTGCTGTCGGTGTGCGCTGGACAAGATTTGTACAAGGCAGTGGGACCCCGTAGTGCTGGTGCCTCACAAGTGACGAGGGACGTCGTAGTTTGATTCTCCAGAAGTAGCTTCCGCGATCATCCAAGCGAAGCATACGAATTTACCATCACATCGGGTTGGTTATGTCAACTTTTCCCAGCGGATTCTAGACCCTTGAAAAAATTTTGCGCAGATCCACAGCAACATGTGCTACAGCATCACAAGCTGTTTCCATCCACCCAATGCTGCCGCCAGTTGTCAGTTGTCAGTGTGGAAAACTTGGAAAACGGCGGCGTGATTGGAAGTGCAAAGAGCTTTCAACTCGTGATAGCAGTCATAGCCGCATAGCGCGGTTCGAGGAGCTGCGTGGTCATGATGTTTGGAACAAGGGTACCGCAGCTGTGGAAAATCCAAGGTTGTTGTTCTGTGTAGTGGCAACAACACGACAATTTTCAGGTGTGTGCCACAGAGCGAGAAGCATCGTGGCAAACAGTCTGTATAAGTCTGTCGTTCGTTGCATCAACAGCCGGAGAGCGAAGCTCATGTTTGCAACAACAATGTTCGTTCAGCTGGAAATAGCATGTGGAACCATTGTTTGATTGCTTCGGCTTGTTGATGCGGTCAATCGGCTCGAACGCCCTTCCTTTCGCAGACCTGATCTGATTTTTGATGGCCCTCGAACGTTTGCAAAGCGCTTCGTAAATGTCCAGTCGTGACAAGTTTGGATGCAATGTGTGAGGTGAGGTCTCTTCTTGAAGGTGAGGCAGAAGTTGTGAGATGATTTGTTTCGAGGCTATTTGAATTCTCAGCGCTTTGATGTTGCTTTTGCAGGACATTCACTAAAGCGAAGCACGTGGAATGTGCAATCAACAGCCTGCTCGTTCTACCTTTCCCTCCAAGCGTAGAGTTGACAGAGCCTGCATGATAGGCATCCAGACTTGGGTAGTTAGTTCAACAAGTTTCAACAGAAAGCTTACGTTTCGGGGTGTATCAAAATTACCATGGGAAGCATGGTTCTGTTTCCATGGTCAGTGTTTAGGCTGCATCTTTCAGTTGGAAGTTGGCTTCTCCGGACTTGAGTTCAGCCCTCACCTTCACCCAAACACACCACACCGCATCAGTCCTTGACCAGCAATAGTGAACAAACATGGTCAGCGATTCGACGCCAACTTTGGGCTCCCAAAAGCGAAAATCCTGAGCCATGGAACGTCTGGCCGTGCCCACGTGGCACCCTCTCCTTCTTTCTGGAAGAGGAGCGGCAGGCAGGCAGTTGCTGTAATGCTATGCAGACTGTGGTAGGAATCACAATTGAAAGTTTGAAGAGGAGTGAGGAGTATCAGTAGTAGCGGTATTCAAAGTAAAGGGCAAGGATAGAAATCGTAGTAGTATTAAAAGGATGACGATTAGGATATGTCATGGGCATAGTCATGATCATAGTAATCGTAGTTGTCAACGCAAGGGTAACCGGTAAGGGCAAGGGCAAGTAAGGGTCGGCGTAAGCTCTTGTGTCGGAGTAGATTATGGGAGTAGTAGACTCGGTAGACCAGTACCAGTTCCGGTGCTGGTACTGGTGCTGGTACCAGTGCTAAAGCTTGTACTAGTACTTGTGTTGGGTGCTAGTACTAGTACTTGGACGCTCACTAGAAGTAGTACTAGTGATTACTAATGATCGTAACCGTTTTCGTAATCGCAATCGTAAATGTAATCAGAATTGAAATCATGATAGTACTCGTAATGGTAGTCTCAAAAGAGATCGTATTTGCAACAGCAGTTGTACTAATAAAGGGAAAAGCAGTGTTCATAGCAAGAGACAGAGCAAAAGTAAGAGTAACAGTGAGAGTCAGAGAAAGAGCAAGATTAATAGTTAGTTACTGTAGGAGTAACCGAAATCGAGTGAGTGTAACATTATTACGAGAGTACGAGTAAGAGCACTAGTACTAGTAATAGTAGTAGTGGTAGTGATAGTAGCAATAGTTAAAGTAATAGTAATGGTAACGGTAATGGTAATGGTAAGGGTAAGGGTAAGGGTAATGGGAATGGGAATGGGAATAGGAATAGTAATAGTAATAGCAATAGCAATAGTGACAGTAATAGTCATAGTCATAGTCATAGCAATAGCAATAGCAATAGTAATAGTAATAGTAATAGTAATAGTAATAGTAATAGTAATAGTAATAGTAATAGTAATAGTAATGGTAATGGTAATGGTAATGGTAATGGTAATGGTAATCGTAATAGTAATAGTAATAGTAATAGTAATAGTAATAGTAATAGTAATAGTAACAGTAATAGTAATAGTAATAGTAATAGGAATAGGAATAGTAATAGTAATAGTAATAGTAATAGTGATAGTAATAGTAATAGTAATAGTAATAGTAATAGTAATAGTAATAGTAAGAGTAAGAGTAAGAGTAAGAGTAAGAGTAAGAGCAAGAGTAAGAGTAAGAGTAAGAGTAACAGTAACAGTAACAGTAACAGTAATAGTCATAGTCATAGTAATAGAAACAGTGACAGTAATGGTAATGGTAATAGCAATTGCAATGGCAATAGCAATAGCAAAAGTAGTTGCAGTAGAGGAAGAAGTAGAAGGAAGAAGAAGTAAATTGATGCTAACAGAAGGAGTAGCGAAATAAGTATTCGGAAGGTGCGTTGTCACTGTGCTGCGATGCCAACCGTTCGCTCCGCGTCCTCGGGCCATCCTCCAGGCCAATCACAGACATCCCAGCGCCAAGACTTTGTTCGTTCCCTGCCGCAGACGGAGGCATGCATTGGGAGGCCCTGCCTTCTGTATTGCTGCGGCCTTGCGTCAATCGGAGACTACCACCGATCTTGATTTTGATCCGCCTTTCCCCGCGGATGTCTCGACTTCCACTGGCTTGCTTGCGTCCTGTCGTGTGAACACCCTCGCTGGTGCTGTTGGCTTCCAACTTGCCGCATTCAGCCCTGCAACCCCCGTGGCCTTTGCAGACCCTAACGAGTAGCGCTGTGCCAGGTCGACCCAGGACGTGGAAGTCGTTTCCCCCAAGGTCGCGCCTCGACCCATCCTTTAATTCGACGTACACGAAGATGCAATTATACTCTGGTTTTGAAGGAGCACAGCACGACTTGTTCGGTGGCACCAGACTTCTTGCCACAGCGGCGGCTTTTGTACCGTCGACAATTGCTTCGCCGGCCACCTCCTTGCATCGCTTGTCCCCTTCCTTTGTCCTGCTGGAATCTCCATGTGAGCTGTGAGCCGTTTGCGACGAGGATCCACAGGATCTCATTGCGAACTCAGCTTGGACTGCCTGTTTTCCGAACCCTGTTGTTGCCTACCCCTGCCGCCCGACGCCGTGGCCTGTCCCTGCCGCCGTCCCATTCGCCTCTAGCGAAGCCAGGGCCTCCGTTGCGCGCAGCATTTGATGCATGATTGCATGACTTGAACATCAACCCTCAGCGACTCGATGACCTCCGCATCGACGTCATCGCCACCATCGCCAACGAACTTCCGATTGGGGGCAGAGCGCAGCTTGCTGTCGAGAAAATCCTAAATTGCCCCTGTCGATGCCAGGGGAGCTGCGCACAAGAATCAGCGGCAGTGTCGAAGTGCCGGCTTGCTGTCCTCGCAGGTCAGGATCATGCGCCTTTTTCGCCCACTGCTGCACCTCGCCCGCCCGTGACGGCCTGCAACCATAGCTGCCTTCACCTCCCGATGGTTTGCTTTGCTCGCCTTCTGTGTGCTTTCGGTGCGAACCTCCTTGGTCTTCCGCTGCCGGTACCGCAAATGTTGAACGCGATCAGCCTTTTCTTAGCAGTGATGCCCCAGCTGTTGCCAACCCTCCCCGCCGCCCTTGAGCTGCAGCTTTGGACCCCAGCGCGGAGGACAACGACATCGTTGAAACAGCATGCAAAGGCATGTTACCCTCCTGCACGGGAACACGGAATTCCAGTCGCAGGCAGGCCAATGAAAAACAATTGTGCAAAGCAGCCATCGCACGCTGAAAATGAATTCGAAGCTGGCCGCAGACACGCCCAACCGCGTGCTGTGCTATGGAACCAGGACCGGCAGTTACAGCGTGTGTGGACGCTAGTCGTGAATTTTTCTTTTCGGTCTACAGTGTCTTCTGCAAAGAAATTGATATTGAATGCACCGCACTGCCATGCACATCTCAAGGTTGTCGACGCGATACCCTTGGGGGCACAAACTCGCCATCGCACGTGCCCAGCTTATCGTCATTTATCGTCTCGAATTGGGCATCGCTTGCCCCGCGCCAACTTTTGCAAAGACCGCTTCTGCCTTTTTTGGTAATGCAATCTCACAATTATCTTTGTCTGAGAGCCCGTTCGTTTAAACCCTGACGATCCCGGACGTTGCTTGTGAAGGCGGCCACGTGGTGAACCAACCGCGGCTGTTGACGAACTGCTTGGTTGGCTTGTTGCCAGTTGGTTTCCGTTTGCTTCGTGCTGCGGGTTTATGGGCGCGCCTGCTTTCCTCCCCATGCAAATGCAACAAAACGTCGTGCTGCCCAGCGAAAGCGGGACGACGCGGCGGACCTTTTTTGCATTTGCACTTGGCACTTTGCTTATTCGATTCACGAAGACGACGGTCTCTTCAAAACGTGGGACAACGGTCGGTCGCTGTCGTGCTAATTGTTTTATTTTATGAGTGCCAAGGGCTGCCGACCGTCTGTCTGTACAACTGGAAAACATGTGAAGCGCGCGTAGGCGCAGTAATTCAGCGATCGCGGAAGAGCTGGTTTAATTGTAGCATTTGATTGAAACCCAAAAAGTGCCTCCCATGTTCCTGGGCGGATTGGTCTAGATGGTATCTGAGGTACGCTCATGCGTGCCGCGGGGAGATGAGTTCGATCCAATATCTGGCTGGGTGGCCTCTGTGACGTGATTTAGTGAATTTAATGCGGTCTTTGTGTCTTGGGGAAATCACTACATGATGTAGTGGAGGTGAGGCGGAATAGTCGCGGCTTGTATCAGGGCTTGAAGTGCTGTGATAACAGTGTTTGGGAGGGAATGGGGTTTTTGCCAGCCGCAGTCTTTCTTTTTTTCCAACGGACTTTTCGAACGATCCGCGCGCGGTCCCAGTGCACCTGCGAACTACGGCATAGGAGAGGGGCTGCAGCGGCTCAGCGAGCCGGCAGGCAGCTGGGCAAAGGCGGGCACGCGTCGTGCAGGACGTCCTGCAGAGGCGGTGCCTGCGCGCCAGGCATAGGGGCATGGACGGGCGGCGACCCGAGCAGAGTGGCAGCAAGCGTGTTTTGCACAGCCACGCTGAGTAGGCCCCACCAGGGTCTGCACCAGCCCTGGGTGGCAGCTCCTCGGAGCGGAGCAGGGGCTCGCAGGGCACGCAAACGGACGAGCTGCGCGACAAGGCGGAGCGACTCGTCGTTCCAGCGCCCGCCGGTCTCGCACGCGAGCACGCACAGCCTTTGCGGTCCTCGCCGAAAAAGCTCGGGGTGGGCAGCGCGCTTGCGGCGTTCGGCGACGGCCAGTGCAGCACCGTCCCTGGTGGTCGAGGAAGGTTGCGGGCGGCCGTCGCGGGTAAGCGGCGAGACCAGGGTTACGTCGCAGCACAGTGCTTCGCCAAGCTGTGTGGCACCATATGCGACGAAGTCGAGACGCCGGCGATCGTCGGGGTCAACACCTGCGGCAGGCGTCCGTACTAGCCACTGTTGCGGGACGACCTGGCCCTCCGGCCCGACCGCTTCGCGCACGACCCTGATCCACGCGTGCTCGAGTGGCTTGGCTCGCCGGGCGAGCAGGCCGGTGCGGGGGCAGGCAGCATAGTGATCACCGTAAACGTCGACCGCGGCGCCGCAGCCGGGTCCATGGGCCCCGCAGCTGCCTGGCGCGACGGGCAGCGGTAGGCGCAACCGTCGCCGCAAAGCGATGAGCATGCGGCCTGGCGGTATTGTGGTGCCGGCCTCGCTGGGGACGGTGCCGAGCCAGGCGGCAGCGCGCGGCCCGGACTGCGAACGCAGCAGGGCTTGTGCAGGCGGTGCGAGGGCCGGCAGCAACTCGGTGTCGCGAAAACGGGTTGAACAAGCGCGAGAACCGTGATGCTGCCAGCCCTGGCACCGCTCGCCAGGCTCTGGCAGGTCGCATTGGGCCGGTCGCAGGCCGTCATGGATAGCGCTCCACTCGGGCCGACCTTCCCATCCTGCGTGGGTGAGGTGGGCACCGGCAGCGGCGGCGCGCAGGCAAAGCGCGAAGGAGGCTGGTCCGGCTTCGAGTTCGGCCAGGCAACGCGCAGCAGCCTCGGGGCGACGCAGCCGCAAAACAGGCAAAGCGTCAACCCACGCGGCCCAGTACGCGGCAGGAGCGACGCGCTCCGCGCATTGGAGTCCGAGTCCGCCGAGGCGTGCCGGCAAGAGCGCCAGGTGTCGCGCGGCAGCGACTTCAGGATCTTGGTCGTCCGGCTCACCAAGAAGCTCGCGCAAACACTGCCAAACTGCGTCGTCGTGGCCGCCTGCGTACGATGCCGAGAGGTCGGGAGGCAGGGTGCGCAGCAAGTGGTCTGCACGCGGGGCGGCACACATGGCAAGGATGAGCCACGCGCATTGCAAGTCCGGCAGCAGGGGGAGCTCCTGCAGCAGCCGGGTCTCCTCCCTGAGGCGAGCGTCTGTGTGCGACGCAACGTAGTCAGGGTGGCCGATGGGCGTGCCCAAGGCGAGAAACCCTCGCTGCGCTTCGATCGCGTTACCGGTCCAGACCGCTTCGCCGAGTTCAGCAATGCCTGCGGGCGCAGGACCGCCTGCGCGGTTGTAAACGCGCGTTTTGCCCAAGTTGGCGGCGACGCCTGCCCGGTCCTGGATCGACGTGGTGACGACGTCGAGCGCTTCCCGCGCACGCGCAGGCGTGGTCACGACGTAAACGTCATCGAGGAAGGCGGCCAAGCATTCACCCGGTTGCAGGCGCTCGTCGGCAGCAACGAGGGCATTGTGTTGGCAGTCCACACGGTTTTGTTGGGGATTCTGGAAAAGTAAAATAATAAGAGGCGTTTATGTTAATGGCTTTTGTGAGGCATTTAAAGTACCAACCATCTATGGTACGGAAGTGGTGGTTTTCCGGGGTAATTGTTTCAAGCGCGTAGACAGGGACTAAACAAGAATGGACGAAGCTAGATTTTACAAGTTGGGGTATCCTACTCTGCCAAATATGTTGGAGTTCTAGGAAGGCCGCGTGAGCTTTGATGGCTCGTGCGGTGATGGCACCTAGAGGTACTTAGTTTCGTGTTTGGGGGAAGTGGGGAGTTGTCGGCGCAGTGGAGATGACCTGGTTGGGTGGGGTGGCGGAGTGGTTCGGTTTTTTTTTCCACGCACCTTTCTTTTTACGGCAGCAGTGTACGAAACGTTTCGGTTTTGTTTGAATTAAGCTCAATTCCATATAGAGTGGTGTCTACTTGAACATGTTGGAGGATCTCTTCTAGTTGCGTGCCTGTGACCCCCATAAATAATGTGTCGTCAGCATATTCTAAGTCATATTTCTGCGGGACCCCATGAGTTCTGAGTCCAGCATGTACGTCGGAAAGGAGTACTGCCATGACCATTATGAAAAGATAAAGGCTGAGTGGACATCCCTGAGGTATTCCTGTGTGCGTGCCGTTTGGGGCAGATGTGCAAAACGTTGGGCAGGTATACATATGCCTGATGATTTCCAGACATACAGGGTATACCCGCCCACGTGCATGGATTCATGATCGATCTTATCGAATGCTTGCTTCCAATCTAACATGCTAATTGTGTGAAATGGTAGCAAGCTGCACCAATACATTTCGCAGTCAAGGCCACGAAAAAAATCGCGACATCATAAACTTGTTGTATTCACTATCCCATCGCTTGAAGAGGCGACCTTACAATCGCGTTGGCGAACATTCGACAATTGTGCTGGGACGGGGGGTTCCAGGTTGCAGCACATCACGGAGCAACATTTTTCACAGCCAGGTTCATCACGAACCGGTGCTGATTATTGCTGATTAGCATGACGGGCCTTGGACATTGGATTTTGCGTGAGAGCAGAGGATACCCGAACGTTCATGCGTCGCAGTGTTTCCGCCCAACTTTCCTCCGCACTGCGCCACCTTGCAGAAGAGTATTGTCAGCCTCTTCAATGCATTGCTGTGATATATATATATACATATACATATACATATACATATACATATACATATACATATACATATACATATACATATACATATACATATACATATACATATACATATACATATACATATACATATACATATACATATACATATACATATACATATATACATATATTGCATGCTTGTTTGTCCATGCGGAAACGTATTGTCAAACCATAGACCCGGCTTTTGTGACAACATGTTGCATGCTTTGTCTGCGCCAGCGTCACCTTGAGGCAACGACCATCTGGATTTACATGGAAACATGGCTTGTATTGATGTGTAGTGATGCCATGGGCTGGCCACGGGTGCGTGTCTCGATCCGGAATGGCCGGGTATGATACATTGTGGTGACGCTGTAATGACACGGATATGTGGGGGCGCTGGTTTATCTGGTTTGGACCTGTTGTGATGCCTGTGCGACAACCCCGCGTGATCCATGTCTCGAACACACGTGGCATTCGGCCAACTTCCACGTAGACGGTCGATTTCACAAGCATGCCAGCGAAACAATAGTCACATCAGTGGCATCATAACGCATGAGGATACATGACGCATACCTTCGATGCGAAAATGCATAATAGCGATCAGTGGGATTATAGCATGTCCAAACCAGCCATGCCCCAAATTGATGTTCGATTTCACAGGCATGCCCACGAGACACCGTACACGCAATCGCATGGTTTTCCTCTAGCGACGATGCCATGATCCTTCTAAAAATGAGCGGTAGACCGATTGACAACGTATTTTTGTAAATAGTTAGATTGTTTTCCCTGTGCCCTTAAAGGGCCGCCTTCGGGCGTTCAGGCGACTTGACCAGATCTTTGACCTGGCGTGTCGGACTTCCGGCCTCGGCTCCTGCGCCCTTCTCCGTTTTCAATCAGGTCCGCATGCCGATATGTGGCTTACGGCAATTCCTTCCTTGCACCCGACCTGATGCGCGCTGCAATGAGGCGCCGCCTTCGGCTGCCCTTGCCCTTCACGGCGCCCGCGCTGTGGCGCAGAAGACCGACACCACCACCTCGCCTGCCCCCGCACGCGGCTGCTGCAGTGGTTTCGTCGTTGACAGCGCGTGGGTTCAGGTCGCTCGCGAGGCGGTCGGTCCGGAAGGTCGGGTCGTGCCGCAACAATGGTTGTCGCGCAGGTTCACGCCGCAGTTCTTAAGCGCGGCCGAGCAACCAGCAGCTGCGGCGCGCAGTTTGTTTCCCATTGTTTCCCAACAGGGATGGATGGGGTGTACATGGAATAACTGATGACCTTCCGGATCCTTCTTGCTTAACAGCGAAAGCAGGTGTGCCCCAGCATGCTACTGCACCGCCACACCGGGCCTGTGCATCACAGACCAGAACGTGGACGCCTGAGCCCGCGCATCGTGCACCAGAGCCATCACTCGATGACAAAATAGAACAAGAGTCCCAAAGACGTGATACACACATTGGCCTGCACTAAGGTGTTCCAAGGTCACTGTGTCGGCGGTGATCGGTGCAACCTTGCGAACGTGGAGAAAGCGTGTACGAGAAAAGGACTGAATTCGTGAACTTGCATCACCAGCAATCATGCGGGTTGGGCATGATGTGCAGCTCAGAACCTGACCCCATCATGGACAGCTCGACTGGCTACTGCAGCTGCGGAGCCAGGTGTGACAGGCATTTGGGCGCATTTAAGTCCAAGACACACGGGAATTTCCGCACGCTTTTGGCAGGCGGCTTGCTGGTCCTCTGTGGGCCTTCTGGCGTCGGCAAGAGCACGCTGGTCAAACACTTGTTGGGTCGTTCGGCTGCATTCATCACATGGCAACTGATCGAAACATTTCGATGCGCAGTCTGATGGGGAAATGTGCGGAGCAGCGCCGAGGTCATGAAACATTAGGCAGCCAGTTTGGTTTGGTGGTTTCGCACACCACTCGGGAGCCGCGAGCTTCCGAGACGGTTTCTCGGCATCAAGTGGTGCTGCTTGCTAGGACTCAGAGGGGTGGAGTGCAGCGAGAGAAGGGGTCGCGTGGTGTAGCATGTGTTGCGTGGGACGGGAAGAAGCGGGTATTTGATAACAGCAGGAGGTAAACATACGTGATCATACCTTGTCACAGAGTTGTAGTCGGGCATAGGTCCAGGTAGATTTTCCGAGAAAGGCTTGCAGGACCATGTGCTTTTCAGTGCTGGTGGGCAGGATGGTGTGGAATACCATTTCGTAAGCAGGGAGAAGATGGAGCAGATGATTGCAAACGGTTCCCTGGCACAAGTCTGAAGCGACAATGTTGATTCTGTCATGGTCTAGTTCTGGTGCTTTTTGCATTGCGAGATGCATATGCCGTTACGGCAATGTGGGTTCACGATCAAGCACGGCCGATGGCGCCCGCATCCACCCGTTTGCTTGTAACCGTAAGCACGAAAAGCAAACCAGGAAGACAGCGCAACGACTGCAGACCACGTATTTTTCTCAAGAGCAACAAGAGGGCAGGAAGGGCCTACATTGGCAGAGCAGTACGAGCCATCAGGAAGAATTGTAAAACTGAACGACCGTCATGACGTAAGCATACGTATGCACTCGTTCGTGAGAATCCCACCCGCTATGGGGTGGTACTTGAAAGCTTCCCGGCAACATGATTGAAGGCTAGAAGTTGGGTCGGTATGATTTGGTAGAGACGGTTCTTGCTAGCCAGCTCATTTGCTGCGCTACACCGGGGAAGCTTGCCACACTGTGTGAGGATTGTTTTTGGAACATGCCGAAGTCCACGGCAACTTGTACGGGACATCCTTTGCAGCAATCCAGGACGAAGGGTTTCTTTTTCAACATCTGGGTTCAGGGCTTGCCGTGCACTTTTTCTTGCAGCTGTGGGCAGTTGTTGGCTGAAACCAATATTGAACTTGAAGGCTCGTGCATGTGGAATGGGTTAGTGACTTGCAGAGGATATCTGTGATCATGGTCACAACTGCATCCTGGACATTGACATCGCGGGGGTGCGAAGCTTGCATAGATATCTGCAAGACAAGGACTACTGATGGACTACGTCGTACCTAAACCTTACACTTGAACTCATGAACCCTAGACCTCAGTGCTAAGCCCCTAAACTGGAACCTCGAACCCTGAACTTTCGTGGAATTTGGGAATTAGCTAAGTTCCAGGGAGCTTTTTTTTGTGCTTGCAATGCTTACTTGCAGGTTGCGTTCCGAGGGATTTCTCTTTGTGCTCAGAGTAACGGTGTGGTTCTGTTTGAATGTGCATGTACACACGCGCACATATATGCCTATGTCCATGTCATGTCCATGTCTATGTCTATGTCTATGTCTATGTCCATGTTTATGTTTGTGTTTATGTCTACGTATACGTAAACGTATAGGTATACATAGGTATAGGGTATAGGTATAGGTATAGGTATAGGTGTAGGTATAGGTGTAGGTATAATCAGTATAGGTATAAGTACAGGTATAGAAAGATGTAGATGTAGATGTCTATGTTTACGTATAGGTATAGGTATGGGTATGGGTATAGGTATAGGTCTAGGTATAGGTATAGGTCTATGTCTGTGTCTATGTTTATGTATATGTATATGCATGGGGAGTATGTATGTATGTATGTATGTATGTATGTATGTATGTATAATATACCGGGGCGTAATACGCCTTGTCCCGTCTTCACCCGCAAAGATCACGGACAGCTTTGCAGTGCGGAAGTGGAAGTGAAGTATGTATAATACGGAGTCGCGTGCAACGATCGGGGAAGCTAACGCAGTGGGGGTCCGTAGATTTAAGCAATTTTGGTGGACCCTTATCTTTGCAACCTAGTGTTTCGCTAGAGTCTAACGTGAGCAGCGCCGCAACGGCAGAGCGAGACTTTCCATTCCTGTGCCTTTGGCAAACGGCTAGGACACAGCATCAGGCCTCAACGGCAGCGCGAGGCTTTTCATTCTTGTGCAAATGCCCAAAGATTCAGAAGCATGTCGGACCCATTTCGGGTGATCTCGCTCCGGGAATGCTCCGGGCACGTTGCTTTCAGCACTCACGCCGGTCCACGCACCAGCTCCAACTCCAGCAGCGTCAGCCCCAACTCCAACGTCTGCAGCCATCCCCTAGCGGGTTGTCTGTCAGGCCAGACGCCGGCTGTTCTGGCAGAACCATCGCTCCGCCAACAACTTTGGCCGCGGAGCTTCAGCTGGTTCCTGCGGAGCCACCCGCCGCTCCAGCCGCTCCACGAATGCTGCCGCAAGAGCAAGATGCTTAAACAAGGTTCCAAACCTTTTTGCTGAGCCCACCTTCGGGGAAAAGGTTTGTAACCTTATTTCCGGTAGGCAGCCTCTCCACCAGTGCCGCCACAAGGGCAGGATGCCTAACCAAGGTTCCAAAGCTTTTTTGCCGAGCCCACCTTCGGGGAAAAGGTTTGTAACCTTATTTCTGGTAGGCGCATCAGGTTGCAAATCAAGCTTTGCGGGATTGCCACGTCCAAGCCCACGGCGGTCCCTCCCAATGAGAAAAAAAGACCAGGAGACGCATTCGGAAAGGCTCGCCGCCGGCTGCGGCAAGTGGCAGGCACCCACTGAAGTACCCCCCCGTCGGCAGGCATGACAAAGCGCAGTCATTGCAGATCGCACGTAGTGATTAGGCCGACAGTCGGAAGAAGCGGAACAGCGAGCAGAAAGATGCAAACAAGATCTATGTCCAAGAAGCCGAAAAACTCGACTGGCAAGTATTACATGATTACACAGTGGACTCAGTGGCTTTGATTTCTGACTAATGCAAGAAAAAGAGTGCATGGTTCCGGCCGAATGTGGCGAAATTCTGCACCGACCACCACATTACCGAAATCGTAAGTTTTAAACATAAGGTGCCTTGGTTGGGTTCCTGCTTTCGGAATCAGTTCCCGTCAGACGAGAACCGCCCGAGCATCGAAGCGATCGTTTCACTGGCATTTGAGTGGAAGGTCAGCAGCACTCCCCAGAGAGCCCAATAGCCCTTAATTAAGCAATATAGCCCAAATTGTAGGGGGATTCATTTAATTAAGGGATATTGGGCTCTCTGGGTCCTTGGCGAAGTGAACAACGCCTTGTTCTATGTTCCTTGTCATGTTCCCGCTTGCGTTGCCCAAGTGTGACGCTAACTTCGAGATTTACCCCAGAGGGTCAAGACTCTGGAAGGACAACCAAGCTCACTTCGTCGAGGTGGGCATTATAAAGTCCGTGAGCCATAAACCCTTATCTTTCAATCTTGCCAAAATCCAAGGCCATCCAGGGCTGAAGCCTTGAGCTGGACGTTCAACCCTTGAACCCAAATGAAGACTGAATCCGAAAGGGGGTACCCACAACCTTCCAGGTTTTTGAAGAAGCCAAGCTGTGCTCCCCGTAATCCCGGTGCCATTGTTTGTGGCCGTAGGGCTTGGTGGGCGATGTTTCAGGGTTGGGCCTGAAACTTTAAGGGTTTCTGGTCCAGGATTTACGCGGGCCGGTTGTAGACTCCCGATCGATCTTGAGCTGAGGGCTGATCCGTCCAACGCATCCTTTGCTTTGCGGCTTGGGTGTCTTTGTGGTTTCAGAGTTCTGCGAGGTTAGAGTTCTGGGTTCAGAAAGATTCAGAAAGCCTACGAGGGTTTGGGGTTTTGTCTTTGGGGCTTTGGTCAGGGCTCAGCTTCTGTGTTCGCAGACGTGGTACACTCTCAGGTATGTAGAGATTAACAATAATCTCCGAAAATAATTCGCCGCGTATCATCGTTACGTTAAATTTTGATTGCGTTTTCTTGTGAGGGTTTAGGGTTTAGGGTTTGGGGTGGAGGACGCTGCAACTTCCAAGTTCTTGCAGTAGCTGCAGAGATGCAGGGGTTTGTGGCAGGTAAAAGCAGCTAGAGAAGCTCGGGTTTCCTGGTGCGCCGTTTAGGAACACATCTTGTCGCAAAAACCGTATGCATGCTAAGTTCTCAACCTTAGACCTCATCCCCAATACCACAGACGCCCTGAGCCACAAACGATTGCGCGAGAAGGTTCTCCCAGAAGGTGGCCTGGCAACGCTTCTCGGGTGCAACGTTTGTTGGGGTTTAGGGTTTTTGGATAGAGCTCCGGGTTCAAAACGAATGGTTACGGGCATGTACAGGTCTCTGCACGAAGGGATGGTTGCGACTGGCAGTTTCAGCATGGAGTCTTGTTTGCTTGAGGTGTCCGTCTGAATGGCCGAAGCTTTTGGGGATTCTCCAGTCTTCCCAACATTCCTGAAAGCCCTACTGAAGGCTGGAATCCCGGCTCCGTGCAAGAGGCCAGGGCTGGCATAAGGTGTTGGCTCTGGAACACTTCTGGGGTTGCAGGCTTTATAGGGGCTTGAAGAATGTGGTGTTGAGGGTCTAGGGCTTCGGCTCCTTCTGATAGTTGCCACTCCCATTAAAATCTGATTCGAAGTTTCGTGACTATCCAAGGACGAGCAACCGAAGTAGTGGTTGGAGTGCGCCTAGGCCCAAACTAGAAATCACCAAAACCCTCCGATTTGTCTCCTGGTGATTAGAGCCTTCGGCGAGGCTAAAGTTTGGCAGAGCTACCGCACCCGCAGTTGGAGGGTTTTGTGAAGGCTTCTCGGGTTGGGGTGTCGGAGAAGCCGGAGCCTGAAGCTGCGAGGCAATGGGGTCGAAAACGCTTGAGGGCCCCAAGTGGAGGGGCTCCATGAAACACCACAAACTCATTTTAGGAACCAGCGCAAAAGGTGGGAGGCAACAGCAACCGTAAAAATCCGAACAGAGGGGAGCCTGACAGCTTCCGGCTCAAACCGACATCCGACATCTAAAACCGTACGCCCAGTAGACCCGAAGCTTTAACTTTTCCTGCTAAGTGCGAACCTCCAAAACGCTTAAAGCCCCTCAACAAGGCGGCGGTGACGAAGCCGAGCTTCAGACCCGGCTACTTGATGGCTTCTTGTAATTTTTTTTCGTAGGCTAATTTTCTGGTGTACAGGCTTTCGGGCGTGGGGTATTTTGCAAAAGGGGTTCCGTTCCAATGTTTGAGAGTCTGAAAGGGGCGCCGGCCGGTGGGGCCTTCCGTGTCCTGGACCGGTAAATCCCCTGAAAACAACCTCTCATGGTTTTGGAATTATTGGTGTGCCAAAGTGCGTAGAGACCCCTCTGCGTTTTTGTAGATGTGAAGCTCTGGGGTGCGTAGGTTCAGTGGGAGAGGGAGGCAAGTCTGTATCTGTGTATTTGTCTATCTACGCATGTTATATATATATATATATACACACACATATATACATATATATATATGTACTTGTATTAATATTGGATGTAGCAGCTGTCAATACCTTACATCACACTATAGCATATTATGCATCATATCACATTGCATTGTGTTATATTCGGTTATGTTATGATACGATGTTATGTTATGTTGTGTTCTGTCATGTTATCTTTTCTGGTATATTATATTCTGTTTTGATAAGATGATGTAGTGTGGTAGTATGTAATAGAGGCTTTCGGGCTTTGGAGTCTGGGTTTTTGGGTGTCGGGCTCCACTTTGATTCATTGAGGGTGCTCTGGGTTCTCGCATTGTGGTCCCAATTTGGGACCTGGGCTGCTTGCAGCGCGTTTGCACATGGAATCCCGAAACTGTTCTTCACGGTTTGCTTTGAAACTTTGCCACCCTACTTAGCATACTTCGGGGGCCATGGCTTCTTCTGACCCAGTACCCTGGCTTCAGAAAACGTTTCAGCTCCTCGATTCTGAAACCCAAACCTTCAATTTCCTGGCGCGCGCCTTAACGCATCGTAACCCCGCAACCCCGTGCTTAGTGAATCGCTCAGCAATGCAGGAGGCAGAAAGAAACCCACATCTCCCCACCCTTAAATGCCTACCTGGCAATCTGAGGCTCGAGACCGCACGCCGGGAGATGAAGGACCGGCTTGTTTCCCAAGCCCTAAAGATTCGAAACCCCGATGCTCTAAGCCGCCCCACTGAAGCCTGTCGGATGGAGCTTGGATTCCTTCCGTGCGTTTCCGACAGGCCTGTTGGGTCGAGCTCCGGTTGAAGACCAGGAACACGAACCTCAGAAGCTCATCCTATGCATCCGATGCCACCCAGTGGGCCCAGAAGGTTCAACAAGTTTGGGGCCTGAACTTGGCTCTGATCCCTAAGCGGAGCTATTTTGTGTGGTTTGGCCGCCTTAGACGGCATGGGTGGGGTGAATGCACGGGGTGGCCTTCACGGTCGGGCCATTGCTACATGTCGTAGTACAGCGAGCACCCAGCACCTCTTTGTTGTGGAACTTGCGCTGCTGCCGCAGCAATGTGTCAGCCTGCCCTATCAAGCTAACCCTGGAACCCAGACCTGTTCGCCTAAATCGTTCAAAAAGCTCTAAGAAGGAGTATGGCTCCTTCCAGTGGGATTCCACGATTCTCTCCGTGGACGGCGATGTGGACAGCGCAGTGCGTGAGCTGCTTCGAGTGGCTACGAAGCTGGCCTGGCCCCTGGCATTTGGAAGAATAAGACAAGAGCATCAAAGGACACATCGCTGCAAGTCATGGTGTTCGTGGTACCGAAAAAGTATAGCAATAGAGTGAGGGACGAAGTAGTATAGCAATGCTGGCAGCAGTAATTTGTCTCGCATGCTGCACCAGCTTTTGCGTGAACATGCGCTAGGGCGCAAATGTGCCTGCACCAGGCCCTTGTGGTTGCTGTAAGAGGGCTTGACCCAGAGCCTGGCAACACAGGGAAAGCATATATTCTAGTAATTCATGGCACCCGAAGTTATCCAAACCAGTATGAGAATCATAGTAACAGTACAGCAAAGCGGTGTTAGCAACAGCACCGGGGTGTCTTTTTGAGTTGATATTGCTCGTGTGGGCAAAAGTTTTTTCGTTTTCTTGGATGGGGCTCTTGCCAAGCTCTTTCCTTCCTGGCTTCCGGGCTTCTCGCCTGCCTAGATTCTTGGCCTCTTTTCCTTTCCTGGCTTCTTTAGCTTGCTGGCTTCTCGGCTTCTTGGCTTTCTTCTTGGCTTCTCGTTTTTGTCTTTCGATTATGCGGCTTCCCGGCTCCTTGGCTTCTCGTTTGGCTTTCTTTTGTTGGGTTCCTTGGCTTTGTGTGCCTCTTGGCTTCTGGGCTTCGCGACATCCTAGCTTCGTAAGTTCTTCGCTTCTGTTTACACTCGGTGGCTGTTCTTAGTATTGTTTCTTCCCGGGTTCCGCAAGGTTCAGGAGGAACATGCTGTCACTCAAGTACTGGCACATGTCAGAAGCATGGCCAGAATAGGTTCCCCCAAGTAACAAGTACTGGCGGGAAGCGCTTACACAGTTCAATCTAGTCCCTTAGCGTCTCTAAGCTGCAATAAGGCATGCAGGCAGGGTTGGGACCTGCAAAGTTCTGGAAGCTTCGGCTAGTTTTCTTCAGCCACGTCAGAAACCCCAACCGCTAAGCCCAAATCCGCAAAAACCTGATGTCCTGAGCAGTTCTTCGCTTGATTCTTGTTCGCGGGCTTCCGAGGGCCATTTCGCCCAAGCAAGTTCGCGCAGTCCGTGTGTTTTCGCACCAAAATCCTGAGCCCGAAATCCTGAGAAGCTCTGTGGGCCATGGCGAGGAAGGTGAGCAGCCGAGACGTGGAGTCCTTTGGTAGTTCACGCACCTCGCGGCTTTCCTCCGACATGGACTCCGGCGAAGGCGAAGGCCCAGACCAAGAGGTGGAGGAAATCGACTGGCTGCAGCTGATGTCCACAACACCCGAGAGTCAGGAGTCTCGAGACGAAGCCTTCGAAATGGCGGAGGATTTCTGGATGCTGCAAAGACGTGCTCGGTTCTACGAAGCTCTTGAGAACCTGAAGGCACTCCCTGACGAGCCAGCGCGAAAGACTCCCGCAGGTGAACGGGATATAGGGGATGTGAAGTGGGCACGGCGTTCCCACGAGACCAAGGAGCAGCAAAAGACAGCGGCAAAGGAGTTGGAAAGTCTCGAACCCCTGACCTCCATCCTTGTCGGCAAGGACGACTTCACAGACGACAAGATGACAAAAGAGAAGTGTCAGAAAGTTGCGGCGAACCTCGGGCAGAAAGCCCTAGACAAGATGTATGACGACTGGGTAAAGAGGCTTAACGGATTGACACCTGCTTGCTTCATGCAGACCGTGGCCGCCTTGGTTGTGGAGGAGGGCCAGCAAAGTCTAAATATTTTCATGGAGAGTTTGAGCATGGATCTAAGCCTATTCGGAGCCAATCGTCGCGTGGGGAGCCTTCCAAAAGACGCAAGAATGTGGGTTGGCCCGAAATTGAGTGAATGGGATCGGTCCAAGCCTTGGGATTGGCTAGGAAAGAGTCTTGGCAGCTTCCGCATCGTCTTCAAGCAAAGGACGGAGATGACTTTGTTGAGCAAGTTGACTAAAGATCTCGAAAGCACTGACACGTCCCAGAGCTGTGGGCGTGTTCTGTTTTCTGCCGCTGCCGGCCAGAGCCTTTCTCGCATCAGCTACAGTATCATCCCGGCAGTCCAGCTCTTGAACGCCAATGACAGCGATCTGAGCCTGATGCTCAAGGTGCTCGTAGATGCCGGGCGGGAGAGTCAGTGCTTCACAACCGTTGTCTCCAAGGCGCTCCTCGATGAGGCACTGATAAGGACTTCATGGGCACGGGCCGCAGATTGGTTGGTAGACATGCTATACCTTGTCATCCTGCTCTTGTTGGCCATTGCCGTCAACTCCCGCCGCAAGCCCCTCAAGACAGTGCAAGTGTGCTTCTTCATCGTTAGCCTATGGGTCGCCTTGTCACTCTTATGTAAACTCTATGGTGGGCTTCGGCTGTTCTGGTCCCGATGCGGGGCCTGCCGCGGTTTCTTTGCTGGCGTGATCAAGCATGCGACGCTCTGGAACTTGGTCATGTCCTCGTCCGAGGTGTTTTCCACCTACTTCGCATTCCGCTTTTGCATCTATGTGGTCTACGATGCCGATGAGGGTGCCTAGGTTGCCCGGTAGTGTCCTTTTGCCCTTTTTCTCTTGGGTTTTATTATCCTTTCATCAAGGGGAGCCGAGGTGCATGGACGCTTTTCCGCCAGCATCCCGGCTTCCTCTCGTTCCTGGTTTTGGTCCGGTGGACGCAGCTGGGCATCGGCCTACTGCAGGTCGAGCTTCTGGGCCGCAATGTCGTGCCGGTGGTTCACGCCATTTCGAGGCCAGAGTCCCTGTCCTTCCTGTTTTTCCTCTTCATCATCGTGCTTGGCTCCTTCCATGCGTACTACGTCTTCCCTATCAAGGAGAACACAGGCAGCTTAACCCATGTCCTGAACACTTTCTTGAAGATCTTCCGGCTCGAAATTCTTGGGGATTTCAGCCTCAGCGAGCTAGAGGGTCTCGGTGATCAGCTTCACGGATCTTTCTCTTCGGACCACACTTTTGATGGTGAGGTTGACGAAGAAGCTTACGACAGGGACTTCCACAGGAGCTTGCGTGCCGAGTTCGTAGCGCTGAGCCTCGCAGTGAACGTTGTTTTCCTGAACGTCTACATCGGCTTGCTTGGAGAGCTCTATGGGAAGTCGGTGGAGCGGAAGACGCAGTTGTACCATCATTACTTGGCATCCTACGCATACCGGAACCTTTCTCGGGCGTTGCGCCCGGGTCAATCATGTGGAGACCGCAGTCATCTTAAAAACGTCGAGGTCGTTTGGGTGGCCACCTTGGCCGAGGAACAGGAGGAGAAGTCAGGCTCCTGACCCCGCGGAAGTTCGGAAAATCTTGGGTTTATGAGACTGGATTGGGGCTCCGAGTGAGCAGGGACACCCGATCCTTCGCGAGGTATGTATGTCAACCCGCCCCTAATCATCCCTAAGCCAGAGGTGTGGTACTCACTCTTATAAGCCTAAACCCTAAACCCCTAAACCCTGGGTGATCCCTGCGCCATGGTCTTTGCCGAAGGCAGCTAGTTATAAGGCCCCAGGTGGAGCCTGGATCTTGTCAAAGCGGAAAAGGAGGGACCCTTAATGCGGACGGACCCCTACCCTATAATGGGCTACATAATGGGTATATAATAGCTCTATTAAGGGTATATACCTATAGGGGTCCTTATTAAGGGTCCCTCCTTTTACCGTTGGATCTTGGGACAGCCCGGCTGCAAAGCACAGCCGGGCCTAGGTTTCCGTTTCAGCTGAGCTAGTCCTCGGTGAGTTTTCATCCGTCGTCTTGAGACTGGTGTTCTGACTGAAGCTACATATATGATTTGTTACATGAAGGCATTAGGGTCCCTGTGGTCCTAGAGTTGAGTCTGCCATAGAAGCGGTTCAGAGACTCCTAGGACCCCAAAGTAACATCACAGAGGCATCACTGTTAAGGCGACCCCTGAAAAAACCTAGAAACCATCCACTGGAGCATTTTCCAGACTTTCATTACGAAGCAGTCCTTATGTCATGCCATACTCCGTAAACCTAGCCGGGGGTTCCTGCGCGGGGGATGTGCTGCTTGGCAAGGAATCCTTCAGTTATTCCAGGGATGGTTAGCCAGTCGTTCGCCAAAGAATCAAGATTAGGGTTCTGTCGGACGCGGAGGATGAAATCCACCACCGTCGAAATTCAAGGATCCGACAGGGGGTCCTACTGGCAGGTGAGTCAGTCAGTTTGGCCAGCGTGACTGGGCAGAGTTTGGACTCGGCACTACCGTCACCTGGGCCATGAGGAGTGCTCCCATATGTACTCCAGCTTTGCTCTCTTTGGGTCCATTGGGTACGGTGGGTATGCTTGAATGTTCTGGTCTAAGAGAGGGGAGCAGAGACTGCACGAGGAGCCTCGGATAAAGACGCTAGCATACTATCCTTCAAAACGTATTCTTCTTCAGGCCCCTACGAGGGTTGAAGTTCCATTGCGCAGCCCCCGGCCTGAACACAAGCTCCAAAAACCGTAAATCTGAGAATGGAGAAAAAGTGGCCCAAAAGCCACCCAAAGACTACAATATCCCTTAAGTAAAGTCAGGAATACTCCTGAAATCATATGAGGGATCCTGCTAGATGGTATATCCCTTAATTAAGGGATGTTGGAGTCTCTGCGCAAAGAAGATGCACAACATGGGAGTTTCCGAAAATCAGGGGTACCGTATTTTGCGGTCCTTATAATAAGGACCCTACTATTTAGGTACTATGTTAGGGTCGCCTATTTTCGGAAACTCCCACATTTAAACCCTAAACCTTAACCATAGCCCCGAACTTTGCATTTCCACCCCCGGAGCTTGCTGAGGTCGGAGAAAGCGAGGCTGCCTTAGCTGAGGACGACGAGCCGATGGAGTCGCCAGATCCCGAGGTCAAGAGCCCAGGCGCCTACCTTGTGGGGTTTAGGGTAAAAAGGGTATAGTTACTGGGGTTTACGGTTTAGGGTATCGTTACTAGGGTTTAGGGTTTAGGGTTTAGGGTATCGTTACTAGGGTTTAGGGTTTTAGGTTCAGGGTATAGTTACCAGTACTGGTGCTGGGGCTAGTGCTAGTACTCGTTTTTTTAGTACTCGTGCTGGTCGTCGTCGTAGTAGTAGGAGTAGTCCTACTCCGGCTCCTACTACTACTCCTACTCTGACTCATACTCTTACTGCTACCCCTACTCCTACTCCTACCGCAACTGCTACTACGTTATTTGTGACTCTTGGGATTGTGAATGAGCGACTGTTATTGTTCCCGTGGTTGTTTTTATCGTTACGAGTCTTACGTAGGGCGTTGGGTTGTAGGCTTTGGGCTTTAGAGCTCCGACCAACCAGTGTGATCCGAGACAAGTCTCCCCAAAGGAAGTCGTGAGTCTTTAAACTCGCCTTTTCATATCCTAATCAATAACCAGAAAGGTATATAGAATTAAGATTAAATAATTCACTTCGGAAATAATAGGTGTATACAGGAGAATTAATTCGGTGCGGCTAGGAGTCCGTCCCAAAGGCATACTTATTGTTCGTCATGCGTGACCTTCAACTTACGACTCTCCAGCACCGGGCTCAATAATTGTTCAATACAAAAGCGGTTTGATGACGAGCAATCAAGCCCCTGGCCCTTGAAGGTATGGGAACCTTGACGTTCGAGAAGAGATGCCTTAACATGGGCTTTTGCATATGTTTGAGCCATTAGTCGACACGCCGCCCAGTACTTCAAGATGCAGTCCACAGCCCGACGGTCCGCTCAGAATCAGAATATTGCCACTGGTTTCTCAAGAACATTCATCAAGACAGAAAACCAGTTGCTAGGCCGACTACAGTGGAGGATGTGCACGGTGTTGCCATGTGGTCCGCTTTCCCGCCCTTTTTGTCATCTTTGTCGCGACCCATATCCTTGTAGCCTTTGCAGCACAGCCGCTGATAGCAAGGCGCACCTCTAAACCCGAAGCCCCTAAACCCCTAAATCCCTAAACTCCAAACCCCTAAATCCTAAACCATTCACAAACCGAGAAGTGCACCAAGTCAAAACCCAGTGCAGGTGCTCAGCCGAAGAGCGTCTTCGGGGAGTTTAGCGGGCTCGCGAGGTCGGCGACCGTTTCTGGGAAAGCCCCGAAATCCCCAAACCCAAGCCCAAAGCCCTACAGTAAACCCCAAAAAGCTGGAAATCGGATTAAGGACAATTAGTGCTGGGATCCCTTATACATGACTCTTAAGGATTGAGGCTATTGGGTTTCCAACTTTTGGGCTTCTACTGTAAAGCCTACTACACTACAGTGGGAATCGCCTTGACATGACTTTTCACACCGGCTCCGCACCTAAGAACCTCGCCTGGCATTGTCCGAGTTGTGAGAGCGGAAAGCCTACTACACTCGGTATAGCTTACAACAAGCTTTGCCAAAGGCCCAGAGTACATTCACTTTCTGAATCTCGCGAGACGGAAAAGGGTCCTTCAAAGAAGAAAGCCTACTGTACTAAAGCATAGATCCTAAACCTCGAACCCATAGAAAAATTGAATCCCCAAACGCAAAGTTGAAACCCTAGAGCCCATGACCCTAAAGCCTAAATTCCTAAACCGCTGCCAGGATCATGTGAGATATGTTGAGAAACATTGATAGGCAAAGCAAGTTGAAATTCAAGTCAATTTACTTAGACATGTAATCTATAGCACCACCAGCCAACAAATCCGTTTCGATTCTGGGTGATAAGGCAGAAAGCATCCAAATTTGCTGAAATCTCACCGGAAACCTCACAAGTCGGCCTAAAACAGCGCTCGCCAAAATCGAATAAGCAACCAAATCACATTCTGCTGAATCTGGTTGGGGCCTGTGGGGACACATGGAAGTGTGCAAAATGTGCAAAAAAACGTGACCCGAAACCCCAGCAGTGCACTTCGAAACATCCCGTGCGCTTTCCGCTTCGAGTAGCTCACGCACACCCGTTTCCGCCTCGCGAGAACAGCACATCTCTCATGCACGCTGCTGCGCATGCCGTGCCACCGCACCGCGTGTCACCGCATACTCGTATGAGTATGCTCGTCTGCGGGACTTGAGATCCTGGGTGCTACGTCATGGAGCAGAAGTCAGGCGTCGCCAAAACCCAACTCTCGGGGAAAATAATCCAACAAGCACGCGAAGGCCGTCCCAAATTCCGTAATGTAGGAACCTGATTAAGAAACCTTGGGCCTCTAACCCCCAAAATAGTAGGATTCATATCAGGAACCCTAATCAAGGCCCAAGGTTTCTAAATCAGGTTCCTACATTATCAAAGCCGTAAACCCTAAACCCTAAACAAGCCCCGAATCGGGAGGATGCTGGGCGACTCCTGTGTGGACTTGGGCCAGGGCTTCCCCAACTACGATCCTCCCGACTTCGTCGTGCAGGTGCCCTGAAAAGGGAGGGGGCCGTCCGTCTTTGCGCCTTAGTTTTTTTTCTTTTAGGGTTTCGGGTTCCGAAACCGGGGGAAGATCGAAGCTTCCGGTCATCATGATCTCCGCATGTCGGCGTCTGAAAGGGCCTAAGGCAGCTGAAGTTGATGCTGCTGATGGTTGTGGTGGTGCTTGTCTTCTGGCAGCGCGTGGGCGCGGCATGTTGTGAAAGTTCGGGAGAGCTTGAGACATCTCGGGTCGTCCTGTGGGGTTGAGGATTCAAACGGCTTTTTGTAGGGTCCGAGACCTTCACCCAGAGAGCCCAGCACCCCTTAATTAAGGAATATAGCGTACGTCATATTATGTGTCCCCGTATAATTTAAGGTATATTCCTTATTTAAGGCCTATTGGGCTCTCTGGGCACGACCGAACATGAGGCTCTTCGCGACGAGCTGGATGGCACGGGCAAGGGCAAGGTTCGCACCCGCCACCAGTACACCAGGCGGCTGGAACGGGGAACCTGGGTTTGGGGAGTCGGTGCTTGGACTGATTTAGGAGCTTCCGAAAATTAGGGGGGTACCTTTTTTCGGAGTCCTTATAATAAGGATCCTACCATTTAAAGTATTACATTGGGGTCCACCAATTTTCGGAAACTCTCATTTAGGAAGATGTGCGCCGCAGGAGCGGAGATACGACGTTACGAGCTGAAATTGCGCCCTTGGCGGAGCTGTTCGCAGCACAGAGCCAGAGCAGTGGCCCAACAGCGTTCACCGCGAGCCTGACTCCAATGGTTCGGAATCTAAAGCCGAGACTTTGAGGAATGTGTGAAAGAATGAACTCAAGTCCTTGTCACTTACTTGGCCTGTCGAGGCAAGAGCCAGGCTCGTCCCAATCCCCAGCTCCAAGCCTAAAGCTCCGAGATGCACTTGGTTGGCACGAGAACCGAAAGAACAACTCGCTTTGCATCGTTGTAGCTACGGGGCAGAACAAACCCATTTCAACAAGCAACCTCCAAGCGGTAGGCTTCAAATCAAAATTCCGGAATGTGCACACTTCGATAGTCTCTGGGTGCAGGACGGCAGGGCACGTGCCTCTGGTGGAGGCCTGCGGAGCCCGAAGTTTATTCAAGCAGGGGCTATGGAGTTCACTTTCTGGGGCTTCTTCTGCGTTGCGGCCCCAACGCAGGCATATGGATGAACAGCAGTTCACCATGCGGGCAACAGCGTGGGGGACCGTAATTTGGAACCGGATCGAGGGTGTGGCAGGGCTCTTGGATACGGGTTCATGGCTTGAAAATCTAGTCTTTGACCTCCGAACATGGGAATGCCCAGAGAACCCAATACCCCTCAATTACGGAATATACCTTAAAGTATAAGGGGATTCATATTATTCGTACTATTAATTATTATTATGATGATTATTATGATTTAAGCTATATTCCTTACTTCACGGGGTATTGGGCTCTCCTGGGTCCCGGATAGGAAGCCCCGAGCTCGCCTCGAGCGACTCAGAAAACCGGGGGGTTTTCGCATTCGCAGTGCACCCTTTGACCCTGAAACCCTTCCCAGAGACACAACATGTGAAATGTGCATGGTAGGTATCAAAAATTATTGAAGAAAAAAGATCACCATGATCAATGACACAATCTCCCTTAATTAGGAATGTTGCTTAAATCATAATAGGAGTCCTACTATAATTTAAGGAATATTCCTTAATGAAGGGGTATTGGAGTCTTTGGGTTTAAGGCTACCTAAGGAGCCACAATGTCCTCACGAAGCCAGAATCCTGACCCAAGCAGCACTTTTGAAAGACCCCAATGGAGCCGTTCCAACTTGCATGAACTCAACATCCCCTGCAAGCCCCAAGCCCTAAGTCCTAAACCCTAACTCCCACCTTGCCTGGCTCGTCCGAGTGTAGCGCCGAAATCCCATCCCAAACAAACAGGTCTTGGCTGAGCGGTACAGCGGCCACCTAGGTCGGCCGCTGGATGCCCTCAAGGAGGTGGCCTTGGGGTTCCATGAAGGGGGTCTGGAAACAAGGGTTATAAGCAGGATAACTACAGTCATGTCCCACATCAAGGGACTTGTAACCCCATGTATTGCTGCCCATGAACCTCCAGGTGCTCCTTCGAACAAGATTAGGTGCTTTTCCCACGAAGTCTTGCGGCTCTGAAGTCTTGAGGTTTCAGGCTGGATGCAGCTTTCAGAAAGACCCAGCCGTAGTGGGAGATACAGGAGGCACTTCCACGTTTCTGGGTGGGTTTTGAGTTGGACGATCCGGGACTCGGGACGATCCCGTGATTTTCAAGCCACAGCCCTTTAACCCCTAAACCCTAAACCCTAAACCCAAAACCCTAAACCCTAGTCATACCTGGTGTCTAAACCCAGACGAAAGACTCCTGGACTCTGGACCTGAAGCCCTGCATCCATTACAACATGATATGGTGCAGCGGTATAACATGAGAGTTTGTAGTGTATGATACGATACAATCTAGTATAGCACAAAGAAATGGTACCATTTGGTTGACACAATTCCTAGAACAACTGGTGGCAGGTCGCTGTTACAGTGGGCGCCACGAATGCTCTCTTTCTCGCGATGCAGGTGCACAAGGGACCATGCCGGGGTTTAGGGTTTTTGGGATGTGAGGGTTTCCGAAAACTAGGGGACCCTAATGTAGTACCCTAAATAGTAGGATCCTCATTATAAGGACCCCCAAAAAAGGGTACTCCTAAATTTCGGAAACTCCCATGTGAGGTAGTAGCAATTAGTTAGTTATTCTCGTGTATTGGCCGGTGTGAGAAGCAAAAAGATGTTGTGCTCCCTAAACCCTAAACCCTAAACCGCGGTGATGACGGCAAGGATGGTAAAGCTCATCCTCCGCTCCGTCGTCATTCTCCTCCCCTTGTGCTGTCCCTATTATGGTTTAGAGTTTAGGGTTTAGGGTTTAGGGTTTCTTCTTCGTTTTCTTTCTCCTCTGGTGTTCCTCCAAAAACCACGGAGGAAATGTGGATGTTGCTTTTTCGAGAAGTGTTGGGCCGAGTATCATGGATCTTCTAAGGCTGCAGAGGGACCGCCCTCAGGGTTCAGGCTTTTGGGGCTTATAGTAGAAGCCATAAAGTCAAGCATCATCATCATCATCATCATCCTGATGCCTTGAAGGTAATACCAGGCATCCTAGCACTAATCCTCCCAAAGCCATGTTCCACTTTCTTGCTTCTACTATACGGTTTACAGGATTTGATCAGGATTGTTGCCGGACAGTCGGAGGATTGCCCTGCATTCACATGTCAAAGACCAGAGAATGCAGACGCCCGAATCCCACGTCTTACTGAATGTCCACCGAAGCAGTAACCTCAGCTTGAGTCTAAACACCAAACTTTACCCGAAACCCAAAAGCTAACAGCTCAAGCAAAAGATCCAAAACCCCAAACCCAAAATCACAAACCATAAGCCCCCCAAAAAAGGAAGCGAGAGCAACCTCCACGTCATCCTAGATGCAGAACTTGAAGTGCCGTAGGGCCTATATTGCCGTTTCCATATACGTATATAGTGCTCCTTGTGAATGCCGTGGGCATATACATCGGATGATGAACACCTATACTTGCTTCACATCGCGAACCACCGCCGAGCTCAACGTATGGCTTGTAGCCCCACGAAACTCTGCCAATCGCACAAGGCCGAAGCCTTCACCACTCCGTGCCTAAAGCAAAACTCCAACCTCTTAGTAGCTGAGTGGATACACTTTACACTTTTTGCGATAATATTAACCCACTATAAGGCTGAAAGTGTACACTTTGTGGGGCTTATCAACTCAGCAACGGACCTTAACAAGCCCACGACTTACAGCCTGAACCAAAACCAAGTTCCACCGCCAACCCTAAAACACCTTGAAACCCTAAACCCTAAACGATGTGAGTAGCTTGAAGTGTGGACTCGCGCGGAGCCTTGCCTCTCAATTCCAGAGTGAGGGACGAAAACCCTAAACCCCAAACCCCTATACTCTAAGCCTTGTATAGCTTACCTTTGGTTAGTAGGGAATGGAGGAATGGGGTACAGTTATAACTACTATTACTACCATTCTTGCATTCCCTACTAACCAAAGGTAAGTAATTCCATGGCAGGGGTTCAGGCTTCAGGGGCCCGGAAGCCCCAACTATCTGGGTGGTTGTCAAAATCAAGGTCCCTACTTGGAGGGTCGGGGGACTTAGCAACTGGTTATTTTAAGGACTTATAAGTACAATAACCCCAATTAGAGTCCCTTCTAGGGTACTTATAAGTCTACTTACTACCTACTTACTAAGTCCCCCGACCTCCAAGTACTAACCAAAGGTAAGATAGACCTCAAACCGGGAAGTGGCGAGGCGGCCTTGTCGCGGTCTCCCGAAGCGAGAGAGCGCCTCGCCTCTTTTCAGGGCTGCCTGAAGAGGAACCCAGAGAGCCCAATATCCCTTAATTACAGGAATATACCTTAAATGATAAGGGTATTCATATTATGATTTAAGCTATATTCGTTAATTAAGGGGTATTGGGCTCTCTGGGAAGATTTTCTGGCTTTGTTGCGTTCGCTTGGAGTTCGGTTTGTTTTTTTGTTGGAGGGGGGTTCGTCTGTTGGGGATTCTACGGGTCGCTGACCGGGCAAGTCGGGGTGGGGTATGTTCTGAAACTCCACTTTCGAAGATGTTCCAGTGTCTCAGGTTTTGACCCAGCGGCCTTCCCCGCGTCGTACGAATTTACCGGATTTGCTGGGTTTAGGGTTTCTGGATATGGGTTTTGAGTTTTGGTCTTGGGCCTTCCGGCGGTGATTCAACGATGAGTGTCTTGCCTAGTGACCTGGTTTTTTGGCCCTTAAGCCTAGGTCGCAAGCTCAAACTATCCTTCGGACACCAACCTGTCAGTCAGAAGCATGCAGAAATGTTTGAGTCCCGCGCTTGGGTTATTGATTTTGTCTTCAGTCCTCCACGCCAAAGCCTTTTCTCTGCTTGGCCCTTCTGTCGCTCTTCGAGCTTGGAGACGGCAACACTCTGCGGGGATGATGTCTCTGAGCTCTCGTATTGCACTTCGGGCTCTTATTCTCGAGGTTTATCCGCCAAAAGCTTGAGAGGAAGCTTGGTAGCGTTCATCGGGCACCCGGGCCCTCCGTCCCTACCGGGGTGAGGATGCCGAGAATGACCAGGAGCGCGAACAGAATCCTGACGAGTATGCCAAGCCATTAAATACAAAGCTGAAGCTGAGTACTCCGAATACCTTACATGGTCTCAGAGCCTTAAGTCTCTGAAAGCGGGAAACTTTGAGCCTTCCATGGCCTGTTTCTAGACCCCATTCAACACTTGCATGTGAGATGCTTCTTGGGCAGACGTGGAGACGTTCATCCCTCGCCCGACCTGCCTCTAAGTGCTCAGCCCTACACCCCAGCCCAGCACCCAGACGTATGCCGTTTCGCTCGAATTCTCGGAAATCCCAAGCCAACCCAGTCCGAAACCCGTAAATCCTCAAAAGGCCAAGCCTCACACCCCTACCCTAAATCCTAAACCTACATAAGCCGTGCCTGCGAGAGCGAGTGTGCGAGTCGAAACCTACATAAGCCTTGAAGCCTTGAAAGCCCAAACCCTGAGGATCGTCGCCCTGGAGCCTTTCTTCGAGCTTTACCGTTCCCAGGCCCCATGATAGTAAGGTATAATATATCATAGTAGCAGTATAGTAGTATAGCACAACATATTTTACGACAGTACAATATGGTATGGTAAAGTAGAGTATATTAATTATAGTACTCTATAATGTAGCATATTGTAGTATACAGGAGTACAGTATAACAAAGCTGGGTATAACATAGCCTAATACAGTCTTCTAGAGTAGCCTCCCAACAATGTTCTGATTGATACTGGACTATGATGCGGTTATTGTGCTGGATCGACATAAGGCTTCTGCGTTTTGGGTTCGGTTTAAGTCTTCCTAAACCCTAAACCCTAAACCGGCTTCTTAAGAAGTCGGCAAACACGTTTGCAGGGTTTCAAAGCCATCGGCCTTCGTCCTGCGACCAATGTTGGGTTCCTTTGACGGGTATTTATAGGGGTTCCTTTGAGGGATCTATGGGGGTTTAGGTTCCTTTGAGGGATCTATAGGGGTTTAAGTTCCTTTAAGGGATCTAAAGGGGTTTTGTGTTTAGGGTTTTAGGGGTTTAGGGTTTAGGCGGTTTCGGAGTCTGGCTAGACTGGAGTCCAGTAGCAGACAAGGTGATGAAGGAGAAGTGGGTGCCGACAACTATTACTATAACTATTTCTACCTACTACTACTACTACTACTACTACAACTACTACTACTACTACTACTACTACTACTACTACTACTACCACTACTACTACAACAACAACAACAACAACTACTACTACTACTACTACTACTCCTGCTGCTGCTGCTACTACAACTACTGCTGCTGCTGCTGCTGCTACTGCTACTGTTACTGCTACCACCACTGCTACTTGAGATCCGTTGTGACTAGTTACCAGTTAAGTCCCCGCGGAGCTGTCAGAGGCGTGCCACGTGGGTGACAAAAAAGTGCCACCACCACGACGACGATGGAGAGGACGACGACTGCTGACACCACCGCTACTCCTGCTTTTTGGCTGCTGCTGCTGCTGCTGCTGCTGCTGCTGCTTCTGGGGCTGCTCCTTCCCAGGATAGACTAAGGAGTAGTGACAACTCTCTTCGGCATCACCCCACCTGCGGAACGTGGGCTCGAGCAGGGCAGGGTGGCGGAGATGGCCCTTGGTCTCGTCCGTCTGCGGATGCCCATTTCCAACGTGCAAAGGGGGTTCGTGCAGAGAGCAGTGGCATCGAAGAGCCTCGCATAGGCTGGAACGAGTGGAAAGCCGAAGACCCTGAACCCTAAACCCTAAACGTGACCAAGTCTGTCAGCCTAGTCCTGGCAAATTATCATATCCTGTGTTCGTATTTAAAGCAGTTTTTTCGACTTGGTGTCGTGTTTGAGTCCATAGCTTCACCAGCGACCGTGGGACACGATTTGGGCCGTTCTAGACATCCCTGGATACAGATAGTGCCATTGTGGTGCTGAGCTAGGATTACCGTCTGTGGTTCTTGAGCTTAGCAAGTTGACCGCTGGGTGAGCCTATAATCTTACACGGCCCTGAACCCTAGAAACTTCACAAAGCATCAGTGCATGCAGATTATCACTTTGCCAACCGCGGTGATACACTTCGCTTGCCAGACATGACGAATCTCAAGCCGTCTCGTACGCTTCAAGTACCTCGCATCGCTTCCTCCTCGCAACCTGTGCAGAAGCTCTGATTCCTAAGCCAAGGACATGTTCAGCTGGGCGGGTGGCAAAAAAACCAAGGAAAACCCAGAAAACCTCAACCTCGGCGGCTCAGCGCGTCTGCACGAGGCGCACGGCTTGGGAGCCGACTTCCGCAGTGTTCCGCTACGTTTCGACGAGGCCTGCGGACTGGGTTCATGCGGTAACGTAGGTTGGGTCATGTTGGGTCTAGGGAAACATGGATTCGCTTGTTCCAAGCGCCTGTGCGTCATACTTTTCATTCACCTCGAGGGTTTCAATCGTGTTGATGGGCGTTTGGGAGTGCGCAGTTTTGTTCGAGCAAGAGAGTCTGAAGATGTTAGAAGGGCATTTCACGAGCCTGACTTTGTAGGCTGTCCGGAGGCCTCAAGCAGCATGTTCATCACAAGCAGTGCATGCATGAGAGCCGCCTCGGGGACGGTCGCTGCGGCGGGGCAGAGCTTGCGAAGAAGTTAGGGCAGCGGGGAGGGAGGAGGCGGGTGGAGGGGACAAGGGATGGGGCAGCAAAACATGTTCCTTGGAGCCAAGTTAGACCCAGGCCGGCCTCGGCGGATATCATTCCCTCTTTCAGTTCTACTATGCCAAAGACCCTCTTCGATTTGTTAAGGCCCCCCCTTCTAAAGGCATGAAGGCCTTCAGCTTTACATCCTGGAGACGCAGTTTCAAGGGTCCCAGGAGGCTGGAAGGTGTGGAGAACGAGTGCAGATATTCCCAGAGAGTCCAATACCCCTTTATGAAGGAATATACTTTCCATACGGGGATCCATATCCTGATTTCAGCTATATTCCCTAATTAAGGAGTATTGGGCTCTCTGGGTTTCAGAAACGAACACAAGGGAATGTACAGAAAGCTGCAGAAGCATAAGACCGGGCTGAAGCGCAAAACGCAGTTGAGGCCAAGCATTCTTTCGAGCTGGATATCGAGGTGGGCAACGCCGGGGAGGGAGTGTAGTTGAAGGGGACACGAATTTTTTGATGGATGAAATTGTTGAGGGGTTGAGTCTTGAAATCCGCCAGCGGGCTGCCGGAGGATTGAAGTAAGTAAGTCAGCGGACTAGGTGCTCGGCCACTCCTGGCATCAGGTCCTTGAGGTGATCTGGCAGAACTTGCAAAGCTTAGGCAACCCGAGATCTACTCGACGATTTGACAGTGGACAGCTCTGAAGCATTACACTCACCCTCAACCCTCATTTGCAGACGGCCCCACCTTGACATCCGAAGCCCTCCGCCCCATGTTCGTCAGCAGTAAACTGAGCCAATTTCCCCGCATCCACTGGGAGTCTCCTTCATCCTAAACCGTAAACACTACACCGCGGAGTCCTCCCTGACGAAACACCCTCGTAGATGTGTATCTGTAGGAGTTCTCAGACGAACGCCTTCGCCAGTGCCCAGTATAGAGCCGCCACAAAGCCCTGCTAACCCTAAACCCCAAACCCTAAATCCCTAAATCCCTAAACCCTTGGCCAGTCCGAGTTGCGAGAGCGTAAATTCCTAAATCCTAAATCCTTAAACCCCTTAATTCCTCAACCCTAAACCCCTAAACCCTAGACCCTAAATCCTTAAACCCTAAACTCGGCTTCACCTTCTGTTGTAGCTGTTTTCAGTTGGTTGGATGCCGAACTGGGGGTAGACTGTAGCGTAGCTTGGCTCTTTGCAGTTGTGTCCCAAAGCCTTCCCTTGATGAATTCGAAACGGCGTACTTTGATCCTGTCCTGAGTGGCATTACCTTGGTGTTGGTGGCTGTGTGATGCATGTTGGGATCGAGGGAACCGTTTGTAGAACCGACGCGCACCAAAGACCTCGTCTGGCATGTCCGAGTTGGGAGAGCGTAAACTCGCATTCTCTAAACCCTAAACCCTAATTCCCTAAACCCCTAAACCCTAAACCCTGAAGCCCTTAAAGAGCGAAGAGGCCCTGGCATCGTCCTTGGGCCCGCAGACGGCGGCCTTGATCGTCAACACGCCGCCTGGGGCCTGGTGGGTTTGGGGGCGAACAGTGGGGTCACTGCTACTTTGGGTATACCCTAAACCCTAAACCCTAAACCCTAAACCCTATATATGAGGGCTCGTTGTCTAAAGTATGAGGGTTAGGGGTTTGGGGGTGAGAGTTCGGGGAAGTCTTAAACAGGCACACCAGTTGCAGGCTCGTGCAGTTGCCATGTCTTGTCTTTACGCTACAACGTAAACCCGAAACTCCATAGCCGCTCAAAGACCCAACACCCTCAACTGTAAACCCTTGAGCAGCGGGTGGTAGTCGCCCACCTTGCAATGCAAGAGACGGTCCAAGTTTCTTATGGTCACGGCTTCCGTTTTTGGCAACAGATTGTAAGGATCCTACTCCCGCTTCCTCGTATTTCGGGCCTCGTTTCTGAATTTCCCGTGAAACGAAAGCCGCTGAGCCGGTTCCAGGCACAATCCCACTGGCAAGGCCTTCGAAGAGTCCGAGCTGGAGGCCTCTCTGGATTTCAGGGCTTCAGGGGGTTTAGGGGTTGAGGGCTCTATGAGGGATATAACGGTTCTGCAAAGGCTTGTGGGGTTTCGTTTGTGGTATAGGATGCTGCTTTTTCGGGGCATGTGCAAGAATCGGCCACGGTTTTCAGGCATTCCGTTATTCATGATGACGGGCCTTTCTCTTGCATTAGACGCTGGGTCAAAAGAAGACCCAAAAACCTTGAACGCGAAACGCAGTTCAGCAAGGCTAATCCCTCAACCCAAACCCTTAAACCTGATGTTGCGAAATCTGTGTTCGAGCAATGTAATGTAGGACCCTGGCTAAGAAACCTTGGGTCCTTACTAGGGTGCTTAGTATGAATCCTACTTTTTTGGGGTTACAGGGCCAGGGTTACTTAATCAGGTGCCTACACTACCAGGTGTCCAAACGACACAGGCTCGTCTTCCCAGACCTGTAACTTCAAACTTTTGGCCTTCTGCTGCGCAAGAAGCCTTGATCACTGACTCACCGTGCGAGAGAGACTGTTGGGACTTAGGTACGGCTCCCACTCAGTAATAGTTGAATAATATTCATAATATAGATATATATATATATATAGATAGATAGATATATATATATATATATATATAGATAGATAGATAGATATATATATATATATATATATATATATATATTAGGACCTTAATAGTAGCCCTATTATAGACTCTTACTGTAAGGGGGCCGTACCTAAGTTGGGACCCCAGAGTCCTGAAAGCCCCGCAGGCCTGAGCGGTTCTTGAGGTCCAGAGTCTCGGGTTGAAGGAATGCTTGGAGTGTCGGGGGACTTAGTAACTATAAGGGGTTCCTTTTAAGGGCCCCTTTAAAGGGATCTATAGGGATTCTATAAGGGTTTAGGGTTTAGGGGGACTTAGTAACTGGTTATTTTAAGGACTTATAAGTACCATAACCCCAATTAGGGTCCCTTTTAGGGTACTTATAAGTCTACTTATTACCTCCCCTAAAGACCCTCCAAGTGAGGATTCGGGATTGTGGCGAAATCTCCGGGTTCGTGGTTATGGTTGCCCACGGCTCAAAGGATGGTCCAGGGGTTATCTGGGCTAAGGATTTGGGGGGGTTCCCAGAGACTCCAATATCCTTAATTAAGGAATATTCCTTAAATTTTGTAGGATCCTCAATATGATGTAAGGAATTTTCCTTAATTAAGGGATATTGGAGTCTCTGGGTTCCTTGCTCAGAACTCTGGCACAGTTCCGGCTGGCCGCGGCCAGGCCATCGCCGAGTTGGTGCGCCAACATCCCAACATCCTGGTGATCAGCGATGAGGCGGATCCGGAACTTCCAAACCCCAAAAGCTCACAGGCCCCAGACACAATCCTAAGCCCTGAACCCACATGGCTATGGCTCAAGCCAACTCCCACGGGTTCAAGCCTCTGAAGAAAAGATGAGATGCTATGGGGGTTAGCAGGACAACGTGCACCACCACGGGGAACACATGCACTCAGAAAGCTTGCAGCGTCAGGGTTTAGTAAGAGGAGGATGCTGGATACTTGTCTCCTTGTTGCACGGCAGAAGCAGCATAGAGCCGATCGCTAGTTTGTGCCGCGCAGTCTCCCACTGCAATGTTGCACATCAGGATCCTGTCAGGGGAAGAGGTGGCCAGCATACCGGTTGGGGTGTTGAGGGACGTGAAGGAACTGAAGCTGCGACTGCATCGACTACATGGCTTTCCTTCGCGATTCAGACAAAGGCTGCTTCTCGGTGGCAACCCTGTGGACGATTCTGTCGAGCTTGACTCGCCCATGGACCTACAACTCGTGGTGCTTACGTACTCTGCCGCATCCCAGACACAAGCGGACGAGCTGGTGACTGCTTGAACGGCTCCACATCTGAAGTCGAAGCATGGCTGCAGCTGCCTCCAACACAAAGGGCAACCGTCCCCTGATCGCAGCTTCTTTCGGAGGCTATGTTGAAGTTGTTCGATTGCCACTTGATGCGTCTGCCGACAAGGACTTGGCAGACAAATATGGCACGACTGCTCTGATGTTTGATTCTGTCAGAGGCCAGGTTGAAACTGTTCGATTGGTGCTTGATGCATCTGCCGACACGGACTTGGCAGACAACTGTTCAGTGGCTTACGGAAAGCAGCCCAGTGCATAACCCCATTGCATTGGGACAGCTGAACGTCGAGGAAGGCAACGGAAGGTCCGGCGAACCTTCCGTTGCCTTCCTCGACGTTCAGCTGTCCCACTGCAATGGGGTTATGCACGGGGCTGCTTTCCGTAAGCCACTGAACAGATACCTGTATCTGCCAAAAGCTAGCTGCCATCCCAGTTCGGTTTCAAGCAGCATCATTCGTGGTGAAACTTACCGCATGTGGAGAATCAACAAATCTCGATGCGATCTATTGTCAAATCTGCAGTTCTTCGCTCGACGACTGGCGATGAGAGGTTATGCATTCCAAGACACTTGGGCCACCATTCGCAAAACCTTGGCTAAACTCGAAGCCAGTGGACGGTCATGCAACACCGAGCACAGAAAGTTCTTCTTTGTTCTGAAGTACAGTAGTTCTGTTCCATCAAAAGTCCTGAAGAGTTGCTTCAGCAAACACGCTCGGGCGCTCAAAGGCATTTTCAAACATGATACTTCTTTGCACTTGGCATTTACTGTACAGCGAAATGCATTTCGACTGCATTACCATGACAACTGGAGGTAGCACCTCTACACTGAAAGGGTGGTGGGAGGGTCAGTGTTTTTATAAAAACAATTCACAAGCAGCCAACATCGCCTGTGCTATGCAGGCATTTGGCCACCAGGGGAGGGTTGAACAAGGCTTGATGCCGAAACCGGTACTCGTGAAGCCCCTGTAGCTGAAAAAGCCTGCTGGCTGTCCGCGGCTTGACAATCCTATCTAGTGAAGTGGTGACACTGCCCCGGAGGCAGCTACTCATCAAGGCCAGGTTAAATATGTTCGGTTGCTACTTGATGCGTCCGCCGACAAGGACTTGGCAGACAAAGCTGGCATCACTCCCCTGATGTCAGCTTCCCATTCAGGCCAAGTTGAAATTGTTGAAATACTTCTCGATGCGTCTGCAGACACGAATCTGGCAAACAACAGAGGCATCAACGCTCTGAGAGGAGCTAGTCGTCATGACAAGGTCTGTCAGACAACAGTGGCATGACTGCTCTGCTGGCAGCTTCTTATGCTGGCCACGGCCACGTTGTTCGATTGCTACTAGATGCGTCTGCCAACAAGGACTTGGTAGACCGCACTGGCATGACTGCTCTGAGTGCAGCTTCTAATCAAGGCCACGTCTATGTAATATAAAAATGGTAGAAGTAGGAGTAGGAGTAGTAGCAGTAGTAGCAGTAGTAGCAGTATTAGTAGCAGTAATAGTAGCAGTAGCAGTAGCAGTAGTAGTAGTAGTAGTAGTAGTAGTAGTAGTAGTAGTAGTAGTCGTAGCAGCAGCAGCAGGAATAGTAGTCGTAGCAGCAGCAGCAGGAGTAGTAGTAGTAGTAGTAGTAGTAGTAGTAGTACTAGTACTAGTAGTAGTAGTAGTAGTAGTAGTAGTAGTAGTAGTAGTAGGAGGAATACAAATATTTTTAATTTTGAACTACGGTTGATGATACAAATCCTGCATGACCTTAAGGGCCCTAAACTATGGGAATTATGGTGAATTCCTTATTATGGGTCATGCAGGATTTATATCATCAACCGTATTTAGTGCAGTTTTGCACATATTTACGGTTTCGAATGCATTTTGGTACAAGAAGGTTTACGGTTCTGTTGGGTTTAGGGTACAGAGCTAGGGAACTGCATCGATGCACGCATGTACTGTCTATATAATATTGTAAAGACGAAGCAAGTCTGCACTTCTTTGAACATCCGGTGCACTGGCAACGCTTTCTAAGCACTCCCTCAGCTCTGCACCGGATTGAAACTTGGGTGGTTATGATCCCTTTTTGGGTACCCTAAATAATAGGTGCCGTGTTATAACAGGGACCCAAAAAGGGACCATAATTTTGACAACCAACCACTTGAGAGGTCTACAAGTACATGATCTTTGACCCGCCACCCAGCGGGCTGGCGAAAGCTAAGGCCGCATGGATTTGGGGCGCAGGGCCGGATTTAAAAAGATTATTTTCAATATTGTGCTTCTTCTTATTATCATTATGATCGCTGTTTCTATTATTATTAATATTATTATTATTATTACAGGTGCTAGTACTAGTATTGTTTATACACACGAGATTCGAGACATCTGTGTGCAAGTCTGTGACCGAGTGTTTCTTCAGGCCTTTCCAGATGTGTCGTATTAGTATTGTAGGCTAAATATGCATAGTGTCCTTGTGCAGATGCCCCGTGTCCACCAGGGTATACTGTGATACACCGCACGAAAACAACCTGTTCTAGTTATGAGGGCTCTACAGCGTAGAACCGTGTAGAACCCTTGAAGAGCTCTTCGGGTTTTGTTGACTTCGGCCTAGGCCTTGGTCTTGTTGCTTTCGTATTATTAACCGCCAAGGGTTTCCTGGCTCTGGGGTATGTCAACATGGGTTTGCTTGGCTTCAAACGCCGCGAAGAGCTGGTGACGTGCTGTTCCAATGTCGGTTGCGGCTTGGGGTAGCGTCGCCAGTGGAAGAGTAACACTGGACTTCTCAGAGTTCTTAAACCTGAGCAGCTAGTCGGGAATCCTCATTTCTGGACCGCTTTACGGTTTGAGGGTTTATCTGTGAACCGTGACCCCGAACCATGAATCCGGAAGTTTCGACCCTCCGCCCCAAGTCCTGAGAGATGTTGCAGGACATGCCAGCAGGCCACATCCATTTCGCCCGGCTTCCGGACATGTGGGAAAGAACGCTGACCGTGGCAGCCTTGGGGTGACGATTTCCATCAGATAATTACTGTGTGCCTTGCGGGGCAATTGAAAGTTCAAGTTCGGGTGTAACTGGTGCGCTTCATGATGTACTATAGGGACCGAAATAATTACCAAAACTGCTTTGGGGGTTCCTTATGATAATTATGGTAGAATCGGCCCCAAACACTATTCTACTTGTTAAGGCCCCCATTTTATTTTGGGTTGGAGGCAGGAAGTTGCTCTTGGGGCAAACATCCACAACGACAAGGTCAGATCTTCCAATCGAGGAGGTGTTAGGTTCCTTATGCTGAAAGCGGACGTCGAAGTCCTTAACCCCTGCGGGAAGAGGCGAGCGCTTGCTATCTGTCCACACCATTGTGTACATGTACAGCAGATAATTAACTCCAAGCTTCGTTGCCATTGAAGTTAAATAGCTTTCGAAGCAGGATGGACAAACCTTGCCAAGCCGCAGGCCTTCGGTTATCCCAGCAACCTTAAAGGAGTTTATGCCCCCAGCGTAGGCCAAGCCCAGCCACACAACCCGAAACTCCGTGCCCTTTATCCCAAATTCTGAACCCTTACCTCCGAAACCCCGGAGCCCCTATGTTGTGATCACGCTTTAGGGTTCTCTGTTGAGAGCCTCAAGACGCCAGCCTCTGACATCCCAACCCCGCCTTGTGGGACTCTTTGGCTCGCAAGCCTCTTAGACCCTACGTTTTAGGGTTTAGGGTTTAGGGCTCCCAGACAGCCCCAAAGCCCTACAAGCTAAAACACCCGTAGCATCTTGAACCGCTACGAGAATTCCTGCAAGTGTCATTATCCTTTAGTTTTCGTTCTTTAAACACAAAACCCCCAAAACCCGAAAAACCCAAAACCCTGGTAGCAATGAGACCCAGAAGCCGTGCCTGCGTCAGTGAGAGTGAGAGTCGAAACCCGAAACCCAACACCTTGAAGCCCAAATCCTTAAACCCCTTTATAGAACCCTTATTGATCCCTTTAAAGGAACCCTTGTAGACCCCTTTAAAGGAACCCTTAACCCTAAACTCTATTGTCTTCGTCTAGTTTGAGCCCTTGGAGTCTCTGAGGTGAGCTCGGCAGGGAAGACCTTCGGGATCACCGGCTGGCAAATCGGTGGCTGGGCATTTCACTCATCTGTGGGTCCTAGGGTTCCTTTAAAGGGATCTATAAGGGTACCTTTATAGGGGTTCCGTTTAGGGATCTATAGGGTTTGTTTTCGCCTCCCTTTTTCCAGTAGAAAGGCCATTTATCTTTTGGGTTTGCGTTGCTTTCTTCTTCGTTTCTAATTCTCATTTTTGACGTGTCTTCCATGAATCTTGTAGAGAGGTTCTTCGGAGGGGTCCTGGGAGTGTGAACCGCATCGAGACGTAGGCTCTTAGCCCTCAACCGTGTTTCAATCTGAAGCCCTGGGTCCGGGTATCCCGAAGCCCGGTTCAAAAGCGGCCCTGAGATGCGTCCGTCCAATTCCTACCCTAGGCCCTAAGCCCAAAACTCGCAACCCAGCACTGTACAAGCGAACGAGCCCTGAGTATTCCCAGTCCTTGAAGCCAAACCCCGAAACAGAAGCCCCGAAACCCTAAGCCCAACCATGAAACCACCAAAGTTCTAAGACGCTGGTGAACTGCCGCCTCAAACGAGAGAGGTTGGCTTATCGGCCCCTCTTCTTGGATGGAGCCGATCCAGCGATTTATGCCGAACCTTCAGCGACCTGGCGCCATAGGGGCCTGAATAGCATAGGTTCTTGGGCATAGTATAGCATACTCATAAAGGGACCATGCTTGGATATATGGTGCAGCGCTGCTAGGCCCCCCCTCCCCCCCCCACCCCATGGTATCCGCCCTCCCCCCCTGTGGTTCCCTGTGGTGTGGGTTCCCCGCTGCCCCTCCCCCCTGTGGTTGCGTTCCCCCTTCCATGGCCATTGCTGGTTGGGTGTCCGGTTGCTAAGAGTTTGGACCTTAGGATGTGATACAGTTCCACTGAACTCCGACCTGCCTTGAGCTCCAAAGCCAATGATAGTGATGAATATGATGGTAATGATGATGACGAAGATGGTGGTCATGATCCCCATCCGCACTCTCCTCCGGTCCCTTGCTCAAGAGTCCCGAATGAGAATCATTCCAAAACGTGCTCAAGCTTACTTGTAGCGAACCCAACCGAGACTGGGCTTGCAATGACAAAGATCGATACAGTTTTCGCAAGAACATCACAAGCCAAGCAAATGAACATGCTTTGCCGAAGCCCAGAGCAACATAAGAGCAAAGGTGCCGCCAACTGTCACACTGGGCATAGCACATCAACATCATTGTGCGCAACATCATCCCCATCATTCTCATTTGTATGTCGAGGGGAGGTGAAGGGGAAGGGCTTATCCTTCCCCACCCCGCCCCTGTGGCTCCCTTTCTTGTGGTTTCCATGGTTGTGGGTTATCCCTCCCGCCCCCTCCTTTTGCCAAGGCCTGGCTTGGGGGGGTAGTTACGCGGATGACGTGTGCCTTATTGCTGGGACGAGAGCCTGCCCGGCTTGGGCGGGGGGGGCATGCCATGGGGGGTGGGGGGGGTGGGGCCTGCGACGCGGCGACGCGGCACCATTTATGGTCAGGCGTCTGGCGTTCCCAGCCCCCCCCCTGTTTGCGTAAACCTCTAAAGGGGTAGCTCTAACAGGTACCTACAGCAATGGCTGCATGCTCATACATATACATTCCGCTGCCCATTGGCTCACAGTGGTTTTACCATATTGAGACAAGACAAGCTCTCCTTGCGTAGCAAGACAAAACAACTACTGTCCGTGTGCAGGGCGCTGCCCTTTGATCCTTAGGGAATAAACTGGTCATACACCTCCTAACAAGGAGCATTTCCTTGTGGGTGTATCGGCTCAGTTTTCTGGTAGCGGAGCCCGGAAAGGGCCGCCCGCCTCCCAAAGTCCGCTACAGCGGTCGGCCTCGCCGAACGCTTAACCAAGCGGATAAGAGGCAGCACAATGTCGAGCTCGCATAGCGAAGCCGACGACAGTTCCCAATCCTCCGGGGGATATGAGAACGAAGAGACCTCCCAAGGTCCAGCCACTTATGTCGCACAGTCATATGCAACATCTGACCGCATGCTTGCATCATTAGGCATAACGCCCAAGATCGCGCCTGCCTATGATGGCACCACCTCGTGGTTTGAGTATGAACAGTTGATTGACGACTGGTGCGACATAACAACGCTGGATGACACCAAAAGAGGTCCGTCTCTCAAGACGAGGCTCTCCGGATTGGCCGCAGTACAAAAGGAATCACTGAACCGAGAAAGGCTTGCAGCCCCAGATGGAGTAGATTACTTCAAGAAGAAGATGCGTCCATTTTTCGTGAAAGGAGAACAGTACGTTTTCCTGTGGCGTTTCCTCGGCCTATTCAAGGCATGGAAGGGCAACCAAGACTTTGTGACTTGGATTGCCAAGTTTGAGATCGTGCTACAGCGCGTGAAAAACTCATGGATGGATCTCTTACCAGAGATAGCTCTGGAGGATGCCCATCCAGATTTCATGCAAGCTGTGCAGGCAGACCAAACCTTCTTGCGCATGCAGGATGCAGCCGAGAGAGACACATATGCCGCACGCTATTTCGAAACATGGAACAAGGAACGCCTTGACAATCATCGAAGAGCGTTTCCTCTGAACGATAATCTCCTAGCTCTCCTCTTCCTAGTGCAGTCCGACCTAAATGAGATGCAACGTGAGAGGTTGGTAACAGCATTGACCAACCAAGGTCACCGAATTGAGACCTACACGTACCCTGTGGTACGGCAGACCATGTTCGATCAGTTCTCAACGACCAGAACTGGTCTGCAGGATCCCAACATTCGGCACTCTTCTCACAAGAAGGACCGCCATGGAAGGAGAGACCAACGCCGTAAACGCGGAGGTCGAAACTTCCTCATCCTCGATCAGGGTGAATACGATGGAGTCGATGGATTCTGGCTCCAAGACGAAGACACCCTTGAGGAAGGCTTTCTTGCCGCCGAGGATGAAGAAGCTGTCTTCTGGACAGTTGATGACCATGAGGCCTTCGTTGCAAGGAGATTCAAAAAGGGAAGAAGACCAAGAATGCGTCCCGGATCACCGGGAAGAGCAAAGGGTGGCAAGCGAAAAGGACGTGGCCGTTTTAGGTCATACCGCGGAAAAGGGAGAGCCAACCAGGCAGAACATGATCCAACTGATTCCAGCTATTTCGGTAAAGGTAAAGGAAAGGAAAAAGGAAAAGGTGGAAAAGGCAAAGGAAAAGGAAAGGACAAAGGAGATAAAGGAAGCTCCTTCAAAGGCGCAAAGGCAAAAGGCAAAGGTAAGGATACAGCTAAGTCTGCCTCCTTACAAGGAGACCAAACTGGATCTCCACAGGCCTATGAAAGTTCCACCGCACCGAGCTGGGATTCATGGTATGAGGACAGTTATTATACTGACTCCAGTTGGAATTATGCCGCTTATGACGATCAAACGTCTTATACATACTATGCATCACAAGCCTCACGAAGAAAAACACGGAGAAAGAAGAGAAGAAATCAAGCAGGATCATCAGGTAGAGGCACAGATCCGAGCGCGCACCAAGAACCCGTGTTCAACTCATCAGTGAGTTACGTGCCCCAGGTCTTTGAACCATCCGAGGGGCAAGGTGTTGAAACTGCAACAGCGGTGTTTCCGTTGCAGCACACCGTCCTATCTGCTCTCACAGAGCGGATCAATCTTGATAAGAACCCTACCTTTGTCATACTTGACTCAGGTTGTACTAGGGCTATGGGTTCCCGCTATGCGGTGAACAGGCTTATCAAGGCCGTGAAGCAACGTGCCCCAGGCATGATTGATTTCACTTTCTCACCTTCGAACACGAAGTTCTCTTTCGCAGATAGTGAAACAGCTCTTATCAAGGAGCGTGTAACTCTATGGTTCAACACAACTCCAAGAAGAGATACAACCATCGAGGTTCTGGATCAGGGGAGAGTTCCCATTTTGTTCTCCATCGAACAGATGAGGAATC